GCAATTACAATGGTGATGAAAAAGTAACTTTGTGACTAATGCTCACATTTGCTATCTTGGCCATGTCTCACTCTCAATTACAAGTTCACCATTACTCTCAGTTAGTACATGTTGTCCTATGCCTGACCTGTTTTTGTCTTTTTTTCCCTCTCTTCCTTTTCTTGAGATACTTTTTTTCCTACAGAACAGTACATCCCTAAAAAGTGCTAACCACAAGGTAACAAGCTATGCTCTGTGACCTTAATTAGTTGATTAGAACCCTGCACCAGCTACAACTGCTACCTTTAACTGACAAGACCCTAATCAGTTTCAGACTAAAGACTTTTTTTGCTTCCTAAGCAGTGGGCATGCTGGAGGTTCGCAGGGGTTCAGTCTAGCTAAGATTCTGTGCAGTTTGGAGAACCTCCAAATCTTACTCCTGGCTGGCCCCACCCATCCCACCCCACCCTCCTAGGAGCCCCCACACGTCCTGTTTGGATGCAGGTAAGTGCAGGGCACGCACAGAGGCTCGGGCAGGGTGAAAAACGGGCCTCCCAGAAGTTCAGGAAGGCCAGAAATGCGCCCATTCCTGGCTTCCAGAAAGCTTCCGGAGCCCGGGGAGGTCATTTTTGCCCTCCCAGAGGCTTAAAGAAAGCCTCCAGAGCCCAGGGAGGGAAAAAATGCTCCCCACCGCCATGGTGCAGGAGGTCGACTAGGCCACGCCCATGAGGGCCACGCCCATCCAACAACCAACAGAGAACCCATTGCTAAAAATTTTAAAGCCCATCCCTGTTCCTAAGTAGCTTGCGACTACAGCCTCTTGTGTGTTAGGCAAAGAGCTGATGCTAACACATCCCTTTCTATGTATTTTTACCTTTGTATGCCTGCTTATTCTCTTGTAGTCCCTTCCTCTCCAATGAATATAAATACAAAGTCAATTCTTGTCTTTCTAATTAGTCTTTGGGTGATCATTCCAAAGTGCAGGAAAATGGAAGAAAAGGACTATACAATTTTTATCCAGACTTCCTTGTGAATTAAGTCCCAGAAATCTTCCCCACTATTTGCACTCCCTCAGCTGTTTAGGTCCATATCTTTTTGACATTGCAAAGCAAAGCAAAGCTGAAGTATAATCATTAGTGCAGTCATGTCATGTGGTTTTTTTTTGCTTAGCAACTGTTTCTCTTAACTACCAAGTTGCCAGTCCCAATTGTAGTTGATAAAGGACTACATGTATTATGTTGGTTGAATGTGTCACATCACTTTTTGAAATGAGTAACTAAAATGGGGTGATTTTACTAATTCAGGGGTTTTGGATAAATATTTATTTCCTTTATTTTCTTGTAGATAACCTTTGCAAAGAAAAGGTGTTTGGCATAGTGCTTAAGCCATCAGGCTAGAAATCTGGAGGCTGAATTCTAGTCCCGTTTTAGGCATAAAATAGGGAGCTGGGAGACCTTGATCAACACTAACTAAAGGAACAAAAAAGACCCCATTCTTTATATAAGAGATCAAATCTTTTTGGTACAGTTTTGAAATGATCAAGATGCTATATTAGATATAGTTAAAACTATCTCCCTGATCTGCGTTACCAAAGCAAACTTAAGAAGGTTAGATAAATAGATTTCTTATAGAGAATCAAGTAATACATTCAAGATCTTATCCAGGAATCACGTGCTTACTGTATATTAGTCACACAGTTTGAAACCTAGGTTTCTTTCTTCATTTTTGAGTCAATGTCCATATGGGTTCCTGTGTTGAAAGTTTTTGCTGTCCATCCTCTTTACTTACAAAATCTCTTTTTCTGGAATATGAACCAAAAGTACAGACTTGACCAACTTCAACCCTATAGGAACAAATGACAGTAAAGATATGAAATTGGAAAGTAATGAATCTATTTTTATGAAGAAAGTTCAGATTAAAACAAAGAGAGAAACGGTAATGGCACTTTGGGATTCTGATGCAGCTTCATACTTAGAGCTCATGGTGGAAGATTACAGATCCAGTGATGGTACTTAAAATGGAATTTGCATTTAATATAAAACAATAACTTTTGATAATGTTAGAAGTATATATTGTGAATGATCAAAACAGTGTTCTGTAAAAGAAGTCCTAGTTATAATGCATAATAGAAACTAGATGATTTAGGTTTTGTCCTTGCTTGAGAAAACAATGCTTGTTTAATACTTGAAAAAACAATGGAGGCAAATAGGGATTAGAACTAAGATGCATTGAAGCAGTACTGAGAGTGCTACTGGTAGCTTCACGCTTAAACTGCTAGAAATTTAAAATATAGGAAAAGGCAATTGATATCTTAAAATTTGCAATAACTTTGTTCTTGTTGAGGCTTACTATAGATTATTAACTGTTATCAGATTTTCAGCCAGTTGCACAACTTTCTTTGCATTTGTGTAGGTAGTTTATATTCCTCTAGCTGTTGTACAAATAGCAAGGAATGACTAAAAATCACAGTTGCCATTTGTTTAAAGATATTAAAAATAGATCCACTAAATACTGAAACCGAATAGATATCTTTGCTAGTTTTGTGTAGACTGCATAGAAAACAGTGTATTATATCAGTCCAAGAAAATGGTCAAAAAGTGAAAGAAACAAGAATGAGAATGACTATAGGATGAAAAACTTTCAGAATGAATGAAGGTTGAAGAAAGAGGATGTGGTAGGGATAGAATAACATAGCAGAGCAGAGCATAGCACAGCATAGAATATTCTTCATTGGCCAATTGTGATTGGACACACAAGAAATTTGTCTCTGGTGCATAAAGTCTCAGTGTACATACAAGGAACAAAATTGTTTTTATAATGTTAGATTTGTTCGAAAGTACATAGAAGTGTATAAGGGAAGATTTTTATGTCATCCACCAAGGCAAAAAAAATTGAAGATGTATCCTACTTTATATCTCAGATAAATCTGACCTTTTAGTGGCTATAAGAAATTATGTTTATTCCTGCTCCCAAACCCATTCTAAATCCAGGGAATGTATACATGGCATACACTGGAGGTGTGCCAATGACCTCCAATTTGTCTGAACCATACATTGGAATTTCAATAATTGGCCTCTTGTGAAAATCTGGAAAATTGGTGGCTAGAGAGTGTATCTTTTGGCTTGCTCTGAATGTAGTATCTGATCCCTAGGGGGATCATGACCTTTCAGAGGAATAGTAACACGAGCAAACCTCAAAGTAGCAATAGCTGCATGTAGATAATTAGCTTTTTCACATTTATTGACATTACAAGATACACAATTTGCATCTGCAGATGTGCTGCACAATCTGCAGAGTGCTCTAGGCTGAAGATGTTAACGCCAGTAGCTACTTTCTGTAGGCTCTCTTTTTCTGGTGATCAAGTTGAAATGAACCATGAAATATTTTTGTCTGAACAGATAACACAACAGTGTCCAGTGAAATAGCATATGTGTAATCCTTTTCATTTATGTTTCATTATATTGATTTATTTATTGGTTATAAGAAATAAAATATAGTCTATATAGCCTAAGTTAATTCCTATGACTTAAGGCAGGGATGTCAAACTCTATTTCATTGAGGGCCGCATCAGGATTGTGTTTGATCTTGAAGGGCCAGGGGCAGGCATAGCTAGGGTGGGCATGGCCAGCTCAACATCACTCGTGTCAGGAGCCCCTGTGATGGCCCGAGTGCTTGAGCAAAAATGGGCTCCCAAGCTCCATTTTTGGCTGTGACGGCCTCCTACAACTCTCTGCCAGTGAAAATGGAGCTCTAGAGGACTGCCCGCAGCCCTCACGAGCTCTGTTTCAACAGTGATGGCCTCCTGCAACTCTGCCAGCGAAAATGGAGCTCTGGAGAGTTGCATGCAGTCCTCGTGGGCTCCATTTTCGGCTGCAACAGCCTCCTGCAATCGTCTGCCCCCAAAAACAGAGCTAGGGAGGGCTGCACAAGTCCCTCCTGAGGTCCATTTTCATTGGCAGAGGCACCGCGGGCGAATCCTTTGCTGTTTCCAGGGTGATCCTGCAGGCCAAATCTGGCCCTCGGGTCTTGAGTTTGACACCCCTGACTTAAGGGAATTTCCTCTAGAATCGGGAATACAGTTCTGTTAGGCTCTGCCTTCTTATTTGAACAGGAGTTTTTTTTGTTTGTTTTCAGCTTTATCATCTAGTAATCAGAAAAATGCGTAATGGAAAGATCAGATACCTATCCCCCAGAGTTTTAAGGAATAATAGAAATGATATTATAAAGCTGCAAACAATTTTTATGCAATTATACATTGTACAAAGTAGAGGTTGTGGCAATTTTTGTACATCTCCCCTTGTATTGATAACTGCGTGAGTTTGTAGATTACTGTAGATATTAATTCACTTTGTTACAACCCTAGATCTAATGTAATTTTCATATTTTATTAAATCAAGCCAATCAAATGAAAGTGTGATTGTATGTGTATGTGTGTGTGTTTCTGTCTTTCCTTGTGTCTATAAATGGTGATAACAATGTGAGTTGTTGTTTTTTAAAAAGAAAGAAACCAAAACAAAGTAAATTATTAATAGTCCCATTCCTTTCTTTTTTACAGAAACCAAAGCCCCAAAACAAAACCTAATTCAAACACTGAATTTCAAAATAGGTGAATATAACCAACAAATTTTTTTTGTTGATTTATATTTTGCGGATCTCCAAAAGCAAGGAGATGCACCCAACATCTACTAAATGTTCTCTGAAAGATCATATATATTAAAACCCACATTTTTTGTAATGTTAGCATATTTTAAAATGAAAAGAAACCAGGTTTACGCTTGTGATGTAAGGTTCCATTTTCATGATCCACTCATTATTCTAACATAAATAGTATTAATTTAACTTAAATATTCTAACTTCTGATAAAAATGAGCTGCAACTGATTCTTCGAAGACTTAACAAACATAGAATTTTAAAAGCAGTGAGTCTAGACATTATATTTTGTAGTAAATTTGTAGCAACAATATTGATTTTGTCATATATCAAAATAATTTATGTTTCTGTTCTTTCTATTTCTATTACAGAAAGTTAATATTGTGCCTGGTGACCCTTTTCAGGCCCACTAGCCATGCCTGGCATTGTGGTGTTCCGTCGTCGCTGGTCTGTGGGAAGTGATGATCTTGTTTTGCCCGCCATTTTTCTCTTTGTTCTTCATACAACTTGGTAAGTGAAAATATACATGAGAAGAAGACTTCTGTTGTTAGGTCATAAGCCATTGATATTTGTTTTGTAATTTTCATGTCCAGGTACTAATATTACGGTGCTATTTAAAATATTCTGCTAAAGTTCATATATACAAAGTATGGAAGTGAATCTATGCATGTAGCTAAGTTCAGGCTCAAATAATTATTTTTAAATGTTTGAGAGAGACAGAGAAAGAGAAAAAGAGAGAGAGAGAGAGATCTGGTCTAATCGCGCTCTCTCCCTCTCTCTCTCTCACATACGCACACACAAACACACAGAAGCAGGGGTAGAATTCAAATTTCTTAACAACTAGTTTTGTGGGCATGGCCTAATTTGTGGGTGTGTCTTAATGGTCATGTCACTGGCTGGGCATGGCTTCTATATAAATATTGTAAATATTTATGTAAATATTGAATTTTTTATTTTTTTAAAAACAGGCCAGGCAGGCAGGTAGGCAGGTTGAGTTGCTCACAGAATCACAGATTCACTTAGAGATCTATCTTTCTGCCATTGGCTACCTGAGTCTGTCACATAAAATTTGCTTGCAAGCAAACTCATAAAATTTGCTAGCAAGCAAACTCACAAAATTAACTCACAACACACCATGTATGTAAATATTGGATTTTTTATTTTTTTTAAAAAAGCAACTTTTACCCAAAACCAGGCAAAGCAGGCAGGCAGATTGAGTTGCTCACAGAATCACAGATTCATTCAGAGATCTATCTTTCTGCCATCGGCTACCTGAGTCTGCACTGAATAATAGAAGCTTCAGTTCTAAGGAAGGTTCGGTTCTAGCTAATCTAAATCTCCCGGCACAGTAGAACAGCTGATGGTCGTGGGGAAAAAAAGAAAAATAGCAATTTAGCAGGCAAGTTTGCCAGGTAAGGAATGGGCGGGGAGGGTTCCCACGGGCCATGTGGGTGGCACAGCCTTGTGTTCCCGCGCAGCCTGGATTAATTTCTTTAGTGGGTGCTCTGGGGGTGACGTTTCTCTGAGGACCACCAAAATTTTGTCACAGACCACCAGTTGGTGACCACTGATTTAAATGGTTTCTACATAAATACTGCCACTGAGAAAGCTGAACCATGTCAGCATCCATTAAGAAACTTTTAAAAGCAGAGCTTTTTGGATCAAGCTACATTTGGAAAGCTCAAAACCAGATTGGAGGCAAATGCAGTTCTTCCATATCAGTCCATTAATATTTTTGTAATTAAAGTGAGTCATACTTATTCCCAAGGAGAAGAAATCCAATAACTACACTGGTGTTCTATTTATTAGAAATAAATATATACAAAACCATAAACACATTTTTGAGATACCCAGATCTTTTTATTATACAAAATGTTACAAGAAGTTGATGGAAGTGAGAAAGGATATGACAAAAAATGCTGCGTTGGTTGAGGTTAAAAACCATAAAATTGGGTGGATGGACCGTTGGACACAGAGACACTCTCAATCAGATATTTAACAAAGTGGGGACAGGGTTTTTGTGTGTGAAAGAATAATGATCTCTCCTTAGTTCTGATACCTAATATTAATATCTGACCTCGGAATTATTTTGCTGTGAGACTGGTTTCCTGTTGTGAGATTTCAAGGTTCTAATAAAAAACAAATCAGTACTTGTTAACCTAATGTCATGGACAGAACAATAATTGTTGGTGGTAATGGCATTTATGTGTCATCTTGGGTAGGTTCCTCATGAGCAAACAAATTTATTACATTTAGGAGCCTGTGATAGTTAAGATGTACTGTATGTGTGTGTAAAAGAGAGGGGGGGAGGGAGGGAGGGAGAGGGAGAGAATGTGTACACATGTATTGGCAAGCATGGTAGATTACATGCCAGGATAAAAACATTATAATTGGTGTATGGAATCAAAAAGCCCTCTGCTGACTGTTGAAGTATGTGCAGGTTTTTACTGTTCTCATTTCTAGGCCCCTTTACATGATGGAGAGACAAGTAAATCTCAAGGAGATTGATGCAGCCTTGTTTCCCTTTGTATTGCAGAGGAACACAGAGTGTGTTCTGGGACACAATCCAGAAATCAGTATGTGGGTGGGAGGGGTGGTGGGGGTAACTTTGTTAGCTAACCATCAGCACTTTACTATTGCAGCAGCACAACGATGAATAACACCCATAAGTATATGATATTCACGAAATACAAACTTGCTGTTGGCTGAACTGATGCATTCTATTATCTGAGAATCCCATAACCCCCGTATCTAAAATCAAATAAAATCAATGTGATAATCTATATAGGAACTGAAATTTTGACATGTTTACTTTATGAATAATATAAAAATAATTTTTCTGTGAATATAATATTACACATACTACAATATCTTAGAGATACAATAGTAATTTATTGTGGGATAAGCCTTTTTTGGCAGCAGTTAATTTCATAAATTGCAAACAGTTTTGGTTATTTATATAGTAATAACTATTCCCAGGAATTAAAAAGGAGATACTTCCTTTCTCAGCTTATATAAAAGCAAAACAAATCACAACAGGATTTTTTTTAAAAAAAAATCTAATAAACATTAGGCTTCTTGTTCCTTATATGGCTAAAAGTCTTTGGTCATGTATATATTGTCCCAAGCTTTGTCAAAAGAATGTGGCTTGTGTACGGCAGGTTCATCATCCTTTCTGTGGTGCTCTTTGGACTGGCATACAATCCCAATGAGACCTGCTCTCTCAATCTGGTGGACCATGGCAGAGGTTATCTGGGTATTTTGCTCAGCTGCATGATCGCTGAAGTTGCAATCATCTGGCTCAGCATGCGTGGCAGCATTTTGTACACAGAACCCCGGGATTCCATGCAATATGTGCTATACGTCAGACTAGGTAAGAGGCAGCAGCCAAGGTTTTTTTTTTATTAATGTTTAGTCTTGATGCAGCTGGCTGTCGTGCTCTCAAAGGGTTCTCCATTCATAATATTGACAAACATTGAGTGATCCAGGGGCATTTGTGGCACCGAAAGACGTCTGCATCTGGTTATATGCCTATAGAAGTTAAATATTATTTGCAAGTTTAGTGACTGTTTCACTACTTTTGCAGATGTGGGAAAACAAACTCCTATTTTCCCCTAATAGGAAAATATGCCTATTTATGACTCCATAAAATCTGTATCAATTTTTCTTGGGTGAATGCACATTTATGATTTTTTACTGTTAAAAAAATCACAACCTCATTAATGAAATACATATACTTTGTCTAATGCCTTGATAACGTTGCATGTGTGCTGTTTTTTGTATTCAGAAAAGACAAACAAGTTACCATGATACTTTTAAGGATAAGTAAATATAGTTTACTATTCTGTGAAGAGAAACACATACTATAATTATCTTTCTCAAACTCAACATTATTTCCTTTGTTTGCTTACCATGAGCTTTCATTTGTAAAAAATCTGATGCCTATCTACCCCACCCCAAAGTGTGTATGGAATATATTATGCGATTCACTTCAACCCTCCCCAAAATGGCTACATACAGATACATGTGCTATAGAGAGGTAGGAGATAAGACATTTTGGATTCTTTCCCTGTTCATTTTCATAGTTAAGGTTCCCCATTATCATTCTTTAATATTTTTCCCTAGACAACTACATTGCATGTACGCCTCGGTAAAGTGAAAATAATGACATTTATTTTTATTTAGTGTATGGCATCTACAAAGGTTATACAATCACTGATATACAACACTTAACAAAACACATTATACTGTACATAGAAACACAAATATAAGTTTAAAAATATAAGTTTAAATAAAATATATCAGCAAATATATATGTGGGCAATACAATATTCAAGATAAAACCATAAAATCACTATAAAATGGCACTATAGAATAAGATAGATGTTATAATTTGTTATAATTTGATATCTAAGCAAGCTAATCACCTAACCTCTTCTGGTATGGCTACTGCAATGAGATCATCCTATTTAGAATGTCACATCAGAATGGATATTTTTCTCATTGCCTAAGAATTGCTGCTAAGAAATATGGTGAAATCAGCTATTGCTGTTTTTGTTGTTATATCATTGTGCATTCTGTTCTTATTGTTCCAGCAATCTTGGTGATTGAATTTGTCTACGCTATTGTGGGTATTGTTTGGTTAACCCAGTACTACAGTTCCTGCAATGATGTTACTGCCAAGAGTGTTACTTTGGGTATGTCTTTAAAAGTATAAGTATTTAAAATCACATATTCCAGGGCTGTCAGGCTCCTGGCCGCGGGCAGGATGTGTCATGCGCTGGCCATGCCCATGCCCAGTTTAGCAATGGCGGGGAAGTCCCAATGTTATGTGACACCACCATGACACTGCAAGTTTGACACCCCTGACGTATACTCACCACAGTGTGTTGAGATTTAACCTGTTCATAAAGCTAAGCAAGCATAATTTTTAAGGTTTTGTTGTTTTACTGTTGTAATTTGGTTTTGCTAAAACCATTCATATACATTTATTCATAGGATAACAATAGTATTACAACTAGAAAGGAAGTAACTATTGAAATCTAACTAGGCTGTGCTAAAAAAAAGTGTTCTTTATACATTTATGCCATGATCCTCTGAAGGACTGAAGATGTAAATTGAACAAAGTGGTAATGCAACTATTTGGGGTCACTATTGTTATCCAACAATACTCATTGAGCCTTGCTTGATAACCCTTATTAAATATACACTGCTCAAAAAAAAATAAAGGGAACACTTAAACAACACAATGTAACTCCAAGTCAATCACACTTCTGTGAAATCAAACTGTCCACTTAGGTAGCAACACTGATTGACAATCAACTTCACATGCTGTTGTGCAAATGGAATAGGCAACAGGTGGAAAGCATAGGCAGTTAGCAAGACATCCCCAATAAAGGAATGGTTCTGCAGGTGCTGACCACAGACCACTTCTCAGTTCCTGTGCTTTCTGACTGATGGTTTGGTCACTTTTGAATGCTGGTGGTGCTTTCACTCTAGTGGTTGCATGAGACGAAGTCTACAACCCAAACAAGTGGCTCAGGTAATGCAGCTCATCCAGGATGGCACATCAATGCAAGCTGTGGCAAGAAGGTTTGCTGTGTCTGTCAGCATTGTGTCCAGACCATGGATGGCTACCAGGAGACAGGCCAGTACATTAGGAGACGTGGAGGAGGCCGTAGGAGGGCAACAACCCAGCATCAGGACTGCTACCTCCGCCATTGTGCAAGGAGGGACAGGAAGAGCAGTGCCGGAGCCCTACAAAATGATCTCCAGCGGGCCACAAATGTGCATGTGGCTGCTCAAACGGTCAGGAACAGACTCCATGAGGGTGGTATGAGGGCCCGACGTCCACAGGTGGGGGTTGTGCTTACAGCCCAACACTATGCAGGACGTTTGGCATTTGCCAGAGAACACCAAGATTGGCAAATTCACCACTGGCACCCTGTGCTCTTCACAGATGAAAGCAGGTTCACACTGAGCACATGTGACAGACGTGACAGGGTCTGGAGACGCCGTGGAGAACATTCTGCTACCTGCAACATCCTCCAGCATGACCGGTTTGGCAGTGGGTCAGTAATGGTGTGGGGTGGCATTTCTTTAGGGGGCTGCACAGCCCTCCATGTGCTCGCCAGAGGTAGCCTCACTGCCATTAGGTACCAAGATGAGATCCTCAGACCCATTGTGAGACCATATGCTGGTGTGGTTGGCCCTGGGTTCCTCCTAATGCAAGACAATGCTAAACCTCATGTGGCTGGAGTGTGTCAGCAGTTCCTGCAAGACGAAGGCATTGATGCTATGGACTGGCCCGCCCGTTCCCCAGATCTGAATCCAATTGAGCACATCTGGGACATCATGTCTCGCTCCATCCACCAACACCACGTTGCACCACAGACTGTCCAGGAGTTGGGGGATGCTTTAGTCCAGGTGTGGGAGGAGATCCCTCAGGAGACCATCAGCCACCTCATCAGGAGCATGCCCAGGTGTAGTAGGGAGGTCATACAGGCACATGGAGGCCACACACACTACTGAGCCTCATTTTGACTTGTTTTAAGGACATTACATCAAAGTTGGATCAGCTGTAGTGTTTTTTTCCACTTTAATTTTGAGTGTAACTCCAAATCCAGACCTCCATGGGTTGCTAAATTTGATTTCCATTGATATTTTTTGTGTGATTTTGTTGTCAGCACATTCAACTATGTAATGAACAAAGTATTTAATAAGAATATTTCATTCATTCAGATCTAGGATGTCTTATTTTTGTGTTCCCTTTATTTTTTTGAGCAATGTATTTTATGATATATTATGATGCTACAGAATCTCCAAGAGTATCAGAAGTTTTATACAAGAATTATCTTTATCTTGTAAAAAAAAACAACAGGGAATATTACTCCATGAAAAAGAACACATGAACTTCAAGCAAAGTGTGCAAATGAGATCTGCCACTTACCAGCTGGGCTTTATCCTCTGCCTCTTCTGTTTCACTAGGAATGGTGGTCTGTAACTGGGTGGTCATTTTGAGCGTCTGCATCACTGTCCTTTGCGTCTTTGACCCAACAGGACGGACTTTTGTTAAATTGCGAGCCACAAAGAGGAGACAGCGTAATCTAAGAACATATAACCTGAGGTAAGAAAAGTGTAATTGTAGAGGTTGACTCAGAATTTGTATAAAATAGATTTTCAATTTAGATAAATACAAATCTTTCGTCTTCAATGTAGATGAGCACAAATGAGTGTGGCAGCAAATAGTGCAGTTTATGTGCTAGGGATACTTTTTAAAAATTATAAATAATAAAGGTCTTGTAACATACATTAGTCAATGTTGGTTTCTTTTTTTTTCTTCTCAATGATACTATCATGTACATTAAGAGTAAAAGGTAATGGTTTAGCCAAGATCATCCAAGTATAAATGGAATACATTATGTGATGACCCAGAGGGTAACACAAACATAACAAAATCCAAAATGTAAATAAATGTCCTTTAATGCTTCCAATTTGGCCCCACTGTTCAATAATTCTCAGTTGGAGATAAAACTTACTCAAAAATAGTCTTCAAAAGAAAACAATACAGTCCGAACTTAATGAGCAGACAGAAGTGAAATAAAAAACCAAATAAACTACAATGAAGAAATTTCCACAATGGACCAGGATAATAAGTAATTAACCAAATTCAAGGAGATAACAAGGCACAGTCTATTGGAAGGACACCAACCAAGATAACTTCAGTCCAAAATAAAACACATTTTGCTTCTGGCAACGCTGTGTTGTAACCGTCTCTCTTATATACTGTTCTCCTGAGCTGCAACTAATGAGGGGGATCATGGCCACTTCCCCTCTCATAAGCCAAGTTGTTTCCTTCTCCGTTCCAGGGCCTGGATCTTCCTCTGACTGCTCAGCCAGCCTCTGCCCTTCCCCAGCCTCCTCCACAACCTCCGGAGTCACACCTCCACTCCCTGTCGGCTGTTCCTCCTCTCCTTCAGAGTCCGACTCTACCAAGGGCATGACACATTAGAGGTCATTCACCCAAAGCTACAAAATAATTATATTTGGTTTGTCATAACTGAATAAGCCAGGAGTATTTGACAACAAAATGGGATTTTCAACTCTGCAATTTTCTATTTTTTAAAATAAAAAAGTTAAAATAGATATGTAAAACTTTTATAATTAATTTAATTTAGTCAGTATGATCCCCCACCCACAAAGGTGTAGGATTTTTGATCAAACATATAATATTAACATTTTCCATCATTTTGTTTTCCTTCACAATCCATGGAGTTTATACTTCTGTAATATTGCCTTGGTTGTATTGGAGATTTGAATTGAGCAGAAGTCCTTATTGGAGAATATGGTTCAGAACCTAAACAGAGTGCTAAAAATACTGAGTAATTAAGTAGCAGAACCTCCCAATTTAAAAATGCTTATAATGTATTAACTGAGATGCAGAGTAAGGGGTCAGTCCATTTGTTTTTAAATGCTAACTGACACTGATTGTATTTGAAGTAAGAGCTGCATATTTTGAAAAATCCACAAAGACAGAAACCTTGACGAATTTGAAGAGAGGAAGGTACAAAAGGAAAAAGTTTCCATTATCTCTTAAGCATAAGGACTTATTTAATCACCTTGTTAGTGTTTGGGGACAAACCCCCAAGCAGAGTGCACAGCAGCAGTCAAGCCAGGCAGCCAAATGAGAGAGAGGCTGGGCCCAAGAGTATACACACACTGGAGACAAAAACACTGTTTGTAATTTTAAATAGTTATTTTATTCATTTAGAGTTTAAGCATTGTCAATCAGTCCATATGTCATTATCCAATATATCCATCCAGTAACTTAGTTCATTAAACTAGACAGTACAATGTCTTTATCTTCACCTTCCGATACCTTTCTCTCGAAGACAACGCTGAGTATGCACAGGATATCAGCTCACCAAGTAAACAGTCCTTTTGTTCAGTAGAAACGGTATCCAGCACAGTAGCCAAACAAGCAGACGTCTCAAACAGGAGTAAACAGCAGGCAGCAGACAGCAGAGAGACCAGGAACCAGAGACCAGTAACCAGGGCAGTGACCAGGAAGTGTTACGTTTCTCTTACTTCCTTATATTGCTGCTTGCAACCGCACCCTTAATTATCTTATTACATTGCAGTTTTGTGCTTAAAGCTACAAACACTTAAACCTAGGTTTATATATTTAGTCACCCAAACTTAGTTGGTGTATCCATATACCCAACATGTATTAACTGAGATGCAGAGTAAGGGGTCAGTCCATTTGTTTTTAAATGCTAACTGACACTGATTGTATTTGAAGTAAGAGCTGCATATTTTGAAAAATCCACAAAGACAGAAACCTTGACAAATTTGAAGAGAGGAAGGTACAAAAGGAAAAGGTTTCCATTATCTCTTAAGCATAAGGACTTATTTAATCAACAATGTATCAAGTGAGGAGGCTTTGTAAACACCTTTTTCTGATCTGAGTAATTCCTGACGTTCTTTTTCTACGGCGACTTATGTATCTCTGTAATGCAACTGTATTCCAGCAGGTGGCAGCATCTAGCCTACTTTGGCTGAATTATGCAAAGTTGGCTCAGCTACTATTTGGATGGGAGACCACTGGGAAATCCCAGAGCTGTAAACTGGAGTAGGAAGTAAAAAAGAAAGAAAGCTTTGGAAGAAGACAGTGGGAAACCATTTCTCTTCTGTTGCAAAAGAACATCATGTTAATTACTAGGAGCTAAGCTGTATTTGAGGAAGACTTTACTTTTACCTTATAAAGTAACTATAGAGTTCTAAATCTGCCACTATTCAGAAAATTATGTGGAAGCTTTAAGACAGATGACATTCAGAACTTTCACAATTTCTTTCCATGTTATTCCAGTGTTTATATATTCTTGATGTTAAGCTCTTGATGTCCTTTTGATCTGACTGACATTTGACTGTAACTTTTTTTTTTTTAAGGCATCGCTTGGAAGAAGGCCAGGCTAGCAGCTGGACCCGCCGTCTGAAAGTTTTCCTCTGCTGTACACGAACAAAAGATTCACAATCAGTAAGCAACTACTGTCTTCATTAAAAAACAAATATAATTCGTGATTTTGATAGTATTATAGTAAAACTGTAGCTGATGATGAGAGGAAATATGGTACTAGTATCCTATTGGGATATTCCACACATATATGTTGACCCAATGAGTGATTCTCTTTTGTAACAATAGAAAAGCTTTTCATAATTGGCTTGTTTTTGACATATGATATATGAATTCAAGCATTATTTCTTGACTACCACAGTAAAGAAAAATTGAAGAAATGCTATGAATGTTATTTTAACTGTCTTAGAAGAAAAGTTTAATGCAAATAAAAATCAATACATTCAGCCAAGTGCAGAAACTGGTAATCCAGAAATGGCTGTATTTATACATAATACCAAGGTAGGATTACTGTTTACTCAATGATTGCCTAATTCACACATAAACTAAGTTATAAAAGATTATTTACATACTGTATTTTTTAAAAAAAGCAAACTCCATTGTGGTTTAATATGATGCCTTTAGCAATCCAACAAGCTAACAACTATTTCAAGCTCTTGACTCTTGCTCGTTGCAGATTAATTTTTCATCTTTTCTTCTTTGGATTTTTCAGGATGCTTACTCTGAAATTGCATATCTCTTTGCTGAATTTTTCCGAGATCTTGACATAGTCCCATCTGATATTATAGCAGGCCTCGTTCTACTACGTCAACGACAAAGAGCAAAACGCAGTGCAGTATTGGATGAAGTGAGTGTGAGGAATTCTCATTTTAACAATGAAAAGTGGACGAAATAGGCTTAATGTTACTTAAAATCACCTTCTGTGATACATTTCAGTTTTGAAAACTACCTAACACTTCATCATAATTCACTTCCCAGCTACTTACAGTTTCACTGTTTCTTATTGACAAGATTGAATTAATATTCGTGTACTGAAATAGAGGAAATTACGGTTTTAAATGCCTTTCAATATCATGTTCGTTATTAGAGAAAATATACCATAAAGCACCAATTCTTTCTGTCTGATTTTTTTAAATTAACCAATTAACACTTTAATTTGGTCTGAGTACTAATTCTAGGAATATATATAGAGAACATCTAGGATCAATTGAGTAGTGGCAAATACTGTGATTTGAATAATGAAGAAATTGCTTATTATGAGAGATAGTTGCAAATATCCTATTAAACATTCTTTTCCTCTTTCCATCCAGAAGACAGAAAATACCTTAATGTTGGCCAAGCATCTCAGCTGAGCAATATAGGTCACAACTAAAACTGTGTGAAAGTAATGGGAATATGACAAGAGAGACAAAACAGCTATTGTCATAAGAAGGTTCAATGACAATGAGTGATCATCAGTTATACAACAATTTAGTTTCAGCCAAGCAATTTTTTTTAACAATTTCAAGGCTGATAATTATTTTAATTAAACCTAATTTTTTGTGGATTAGAATCCACTTAATCAGATTATCGTACTTGTATTCTAGTCCACAAAAGCCAAGCCATAAATGTATTGCTCTATTTGAAGAAGATGGGCGGTTCAAACATGTGAAAAATAAATAAGATTGCCTATAAGATGTTACAAAACTGACGGTTTTATACATTCCTAGGCTTCAGATTCAGTTTAAAAAAAAGAAAAAAGAATTCAGCCTACAACATTCAGAGAAGACAGAAAAACAAAGGAAAGAAACTGATAACACACATTGAGAATAACATATTTTCCAATTGCATTAATTCAAACGAAGAAGTGTTTACTTCTTAAGTACATGCTGAATATTTTAATTACATTTTTTTCCAACCTATATGATTTACAGGCAAACAATGATATACTAGCTTTCTTGTCGGGAATGCCAGTTACCAGGAACACAAAATATTTGGACCTGAAAAACTCAGTAAGTTATCAGATTGTTTATTACAGAAAATATACAAACTCAGTGGATCAAAGGAATTAGTTGTTCTGTCTTTCCTTGGATAAACTCTTGTTCTAATCTTAGACATTAAGAGATCGATTAGATAAGGTAGAGATATATTAGTTCATAACAACCCCCATGAATGTGACTTGCCAAAGGAAACAACAGATGTTATTTCACAAGTAAAGTACTGTCAAAGTGTAAGTAAATCTAATTAATAAAATCAAACAAAAATAAATATAATTAATAATTAAAATAATTAATAAATTAAAAAGAAAATGCAAACAAACAAAACAAAGAACAGACTTGATGGACCACTGAGTATTTTTTGTCATCAGTTTTCTGTGATTCTCTTTTCAGTTTCTTTGATGTATCAGAGAGTTATTGCTATACCCTAATTGTGTTTTGAAATTTCCTTCTAATGTTGGTCAGTTCTTTAAAAGAGGTACCATGTAACTCTTGAAAGATTGAAATCTTCTAACCTGAAATAAATACTCCGTAGAATGCTCCTACATACAATACAAAGCTCCTGGAGTTCCATAGAACTGCCAGAGTGCTACAAAAGAGTTGATAAGGTTCCAATTTTCAAAAAGGGAGGAAATATATCCAGGAAATTACAGACCAATCAGGTGGACATCAGTACCTGGGAAAATAATTAAAAAGATAAGCAGTGGATTTGCAAGCATCTTGAAATGAGCAAGGTGATTATTGGAAGCCAACATGGGTTTGTTTAACAAAGATCATGATAGACAAGCCTTACTGACTTCTTTGACAAAGTGACTAAATGAATGGATTGGAGAGATATCAGAATATAGTTTATTTACACTTCAGGAAGGCATTTGACAAAGTAGATCACAGCCTACTTGTTAATAAGGTATAAAAATGTGGGATAGATAGCATCATCGCTAGATGGATTCGCAACTGGCTGATCAATCATATTCAATGTGTAGTCCTCAATGACACTACATCTACACGGAGGAAAGCATTTATTTATTTGATTTGTCAATCGCTTACAAGATACATCCATAAGAATAAACATAGTTTGGAATACCCCCTATTTATAAGAAAAATAAAAAGAAACAATAGGATAGGGATGGTAGGCACTATTGGTGCGCTTATGCACGCCCCCTACAGGCCTTTTAGGAAGGGGGTGAGATCAATAGTAGACAGTCTAAGGTTAAAGTTTTTGGGGTTTGGGGAAGAAACCACAGAGTCAGGTAGAGTATTCCACTCTGTTGCTGAAGTCGTATTTTCTGCAGTCAAGTTCGGTGCAGTTAACCTTGAGTTTGTATCTATTGTGTGCTCTTGTATTGTTATGATTGAAGCTGAAATATTCATTTGCAGGTAGGACATTGCAATGTATGATTTTATATACTATATTTAGATCGGATTGAAGGCGGTGTAGTTCTAGGTTTTCTAGGTCTAGAGTTTCAAGTCTGGTGATATAAGGTATTCTGCAATGAGTAGAGGAGCAGAGAACTCTTCTTGTGAAATATTTCTGGACTTTTTCAATTGTGTTAATATCAGATACATGATATGGGTTCCAGACTGATGAGCCGTATTCAAGTATAGGTCTAGCAAATGTTTTGAATGCTCTAGTTAGTAGTGTGATATTACCAGAGAAGAAGCTATGTAGGATTAGATTAACAACTCTTAATACCTTTTTGGCAATGTAGTTACAATGGGCTCTAGCATTTAAATCATTAGAGATGAGTACTCCAAGGTCCTTGACAGAGTTTGGATCCTCAACAAGGTCTTGACTGTTCAGTTTGTATTTTATTTTCTGATGTATATTTTTTTGCCAGTATGTAAAACAGAGCATGTATTTGTTGAGATTTGAAGTTGCCATTTGATTGATAATTCTGATACATAGTCAAGGTCTTTTTGGAGGGTAGTAGTATTGTCTGTGGTGTTGAATAGCTTTACATCAACAGCAAAGAGAAAGCAGTTGCTCTTAATATGATCACAGAGGTCATTTATGTAGAGTATGAAGAGAGTTGGTCCTAAAACACTGCCTTGGAGAACACCATTGTTGACAGCTACAGAATTTGATAGGACACTCCCAATTTTGACCATTTGTTGTCTGTTTGACAGGAATGCTTCTTTCCAGTTATGCAGTTGTCCAGAGATACCATAAGATTTTAGTTTTAGTAGTAGTTTGTCGTGTACCACTGAATCAAAGGCTTTACAGAAGTCTATGTAGATTGTGTCTATTGCTTTGCCCTGACAGAGTTGTGTAGTCCATATGTTTTGCAGTGTAAGAGTTGCAGATTACAGGGATTCAGATTTCTGAAACCAAATTGTTTTTTAGAGAGTAGGTTGTTTGTCTCTTAAGTGGAGGATAATGGATTGGTTAATAATTGATTCCATGACTTTACAGGTGACGAAGCATAAGGAGATTGGTCTGTAATTTTCAACTAGGCTGGGGTCTCCCTTTTTGAAGATGGGGATGACTGTGGCTTGTGACCATAGCTTTGGCAAGGAGCTGGTCCTGAAAGATTTTCCAAAGATTATGCTTAAGAGGTTCGGCTATGTCAGTGGATAGCTTTTTTAAGAAGTAGGCACATATTCCGTCTGGTCCAACAGATAGGGATGGTTTTATATTGCGCAGTGCTTTTTCAACAATGTCTTCTGTAAAATCGATATGCATTAGATCATTGTAGTTGTCTGTGGTTCGACTAGGAAGTACTGGGCTTGATTCATTGCTGTTTACAAATACTGAGCCAAATAATGTGTTAAAGAGGTTTGCTTTGATGGTGTCGTTGTTGCAGTCTTTACCATTAGGTACTTTCAGGGGTGGGATGGACCTTGAGTCTTTTAGTTTGTTGTTTACAAAATTGTAGAAAGCACGGGTGAAATTTGTGCGTAGAAGGTTTTCCTCTTGTTTAATGTGATAATTAGTGCATTCAGTTTTTATCTGGTAACATAGATGTTTTCATCAGCTTTTGAAGTTGGCAACGTGACCAGATTTGTTTTTTCACCAAAGTGATCTCTTTTTGGATTGAAGCTTCCTTATTGTTATGGGTAATCTGTTTTTCCTGGTTTTGGGAGTTGTTATTGGTACATATAGTTTGATGGCTCTTTTGATTTCTAGTAAGAATATGTTGTAATGGTCTTCAACAGTATTGCATCCAGTGAATAGAAATTGCCATTCAAGGGAAGAGAGATTGTTGATTATAAGATCATAGTTGCCTTTTTTGAAGTTATAATTGGGGATTTTGTCATTGTGATGATTTTTGTGTGGACGTATGTTGAGACAAAAGTCAATCATGTTGTGGTCACTGTTGGAAAAGGGTTCTTTAATTTGTATTTCGTAAATTGAATTCAAACTATTGCAGAAGATGAGATTGAGGCAGTTGTTAAGCCTAGTATTGTTGGTTAGTAGTTGTTCCAGTCCCAGATTTGTTGCAGCATAGTAGAAGGTTGCATGTATGGGTTCAGTTGTACATTCGTTTAGGGTCCAGTTAATATGAGATAGATTGAAGTCACCAAGAAAGATAAAAGTGTGTGGGCAGCATGCTGCCCATGTTAGTAGTGTATTTAGCTTGTTTACATGTTCAATGTCATAATCAGGGGCTCCGTAACATACTAAGAACCAAAATGTGATATTTAAAGTCTGTTCACAGATAATGGTCTCAGGAAGAGCAAGCTCTTGGGTAACTTGGATGTTTTTTAGATGTAAGGACTTTTTATAGAAGATAGAAACACCACCTCCTCTATGGATTTCACGATCAGATTGGTAAACATAATAGTCTCTTACTGAGGTAATGGAGTCAGGGAGAGATGCATTGAGCCATGTTTCACAGACAAATATGAAGTCGAATTTAGCCGTATTTAGTAAGAGGAGAAATTCAGGTATTTTATTTATAAGGCTTCTTGCATTGAATAGCTTGCATTTAAGGCCAGTTGTAGTTTGAATAGTTGGGGGTGTGCGTGCCTAGTCTTGGGTGATGGGTTAGGGTTATGTAGTAGGCATGTAGTAGGATACCCCTTCAACATCTTCATAAATGATTTAGGTGAGAGGACAGAAGGGGACCTTATCAGATTTACATACTATACCATGCTGGGGGCAATTGCCAAAACTTTAGAAGACAGACTGAAGAGTCAGAAGGATCTTGACAGACTTGAGCATGGGCCCTATCTAACAAGATGCAGTTCAGTGGTGAGAAAAGTAAGGCCTTGCACCTAGGCAGAAAAAATAAAATGCACAAGTTAAGAATAGGTGGTATCTGGCTCAGCAGTAGTAACTGTGTGAGAGATCCATGTATCCTAGTGGACCACCACTAAAGTATGAGTCAGCACTGTGCTGCAGATGCAAAAAAAAAAAAAGCACTGCAGACCTAGGATGCATCAGCAGAGGGATAGCATCAAGAATATGGAAGTGATAGCACTGCTCTATTCCGCACTAGTGAGGCCAGACTTGGAATACTACATCCAGTTCTGGTTATCACGATACAAAAAAGATCCTGATGCCCTAGAAAGACTGCAAAGAAGAGCAACAAAGGTGATAAAGGGTCTGGAGGGTAAAACCGTATGATGAATGGTTAAGGTAACTAGGTCTGTCTAATTATTGAAGAGAAGGAATAGGGGTGACATGATAGTTACCTTCCAGTACTTGATGGGCTATCACAGAGAAGCGGGGGTTATTCTCCATATACCTATTCTCCACAGTACCTGAAAATATAGACAAGAAGTAAAAAGGCCCCAAAGAGTTTTGATCTATGTGGGTTATTTTTAATTATATTTACTGTACTACAATTTAAAATTGAGAAATTTTAAATTATTTCTTTGTTTTTCGGGGGCCCTGAAAGGGTCTCAGGGCACGAAAATGGGCCACATTTTGAGAATAGGTAAACCATTTTTTGTAAACAGTTATTTGTACAAATGAGTTATATATACGAATGAATTGACCACTAAAGTCTGTTTTCTTATAGCACTGTTTATACCTGGGTAATAAAAACATTTGAAATTTTCTGGGACTTTCGTGAGTCTTACACTATTAAATAAGTAATACTTTTGAATTAAAGCTATAAACCTCAAATGTAGACATTTTTATTGCTGTAGCATACAAAAAAAGATACATAAGTGAAGAAAATTAAGAAAAAAGACACAGAATGCATATTTTGAAAACAGCTGTTTTTAAACATTTCATGAAGCTTTACCACTCAAAATAATGGTATCTCTTTCCATTACATCAACACAGAACTAATTTATGATCAGTGAGCAAATCCACATCGTCAATCCAGGATTCTGTGTAGCACTGTCTTTTTATCATATAAGAATGTTATGTTCTGGTAAATTCCACACTTCATAAATCAGGAGTTCTTCATTTGGTAATAAATAAATAAAAATTGTACGTAATTTCAACTTGCACGTGTAAACTATACAGCACTCTTCTCAAAATCATCAACAAACAAACCCAAATTGTATAAGTGTGGCATGAATACATAAGTGTCTCTTCCATTATTTTACACTTACAGCATAATGAAGTTGATAGCCAATTCTTTTGAAAAGTTTTATGCAGTATCTAATAAATATAGAAAAAATCTGTCATTGAATTAGTCTCATTTTAAGATCATGATATCTTAATATTCTTTTAACCGTTCATTTGTTAAAACAGGGTATTCCAACTTTTGATTCCAATTCTTACAAATTCTCTGTCTCTAAAAATATTTGGAGTTACACATGAGTTCATTCAATAATATTTTAGCAGTAGGGGAAATACCTTTGCCCAATCTAGTTTTGACTGCACTGCATCTTATTATTACTATTTAGGTTTTGCTTCCACTTTTAACTAATCAGAGGGCTTCATTTTGTAAAAATGCATGAACTTCGTTTAGTTGTTCAAACAAGCCAGAATCAAGTTAAGGGTTAGGAACTTGGCTTATTAGTAGATCGCATGTTACAAATCAGTTTTCTTAGCTAGGGTACGCAATAATAAGGTTCTCCAGCTGGAAGTCATAATTTCTCATCCACTCAGCAGCTATCCCAGAGTGCTAATCTCAGGCTTCTTCCATCAAACAGTGCCTGGAAGTGGCTATTTGGAGCTTAATTGAAAGATCAAATAGACTATGAAAACCTAATCAGAAATTATAGTTTCTTGATAACTAAGTGAGAGGAAGTTATTTCTAAGCATGGCATCATGCCATATTTCTTTTATTCCCTTCAGCAAGAGATGCTGCGATATAAAGAAGTATGCTATTATATGCTCTTTGCTTTGGCTGCTTATGGTTGGCCCATGTATTTGATGAGGAAGCCTACCTGTGGACTCTGTCGCTTGGCCAGATCCTGCTCGTAAGTATTGATCCAGATTGTTTTAAATGTCTTTTACTTTATTATCTCCTTTATTTTTTTTTCTTCCTCTGTCTCCTCATGCACTCCTCCTTTATTGAGGTCTGTGTGTGTGTTTTGTTTTGCTTCTTGGATCTGCCATTCCTAAGTTGCATTAATAGAGGGATACAGTCAAGATCAAGTGAGGTACTAATACCATTCTATAAAGCCTTAGTAAGACCACACCTAGAGTACTGCATCCAGTTTTGGTCCCCACATTATAAAAAAGATGTTGAGACTCTAGAAAAAGTACAAAGAAGACCAACCAGAATGATTAGGGGACTGGAGACTAAAACATATGAAGAACGGTTACAGGAATTGGGCTTGGCTAGTCTAGTGAAGAGAAGGACCAGGGGAGACATGATAACAGTCTTCCAATATTTGAGGGGCTGCCACAGAGAGGAAGGGGTCAAGCTGTTTTCTAAAGCACCTGTACACCAGACAAGAAAATAATGGATGGAAACTGAACAAGGAGAGATTTAACCTGGAAATAAGGAGGAACTTTCTGACAATGAGAACAATCAATCAATGGAACACTTTGCCCTTGGAAGTTGTGGGAGCGTCATCACTTGAGACTTTCAAGAAGAAATTGGACTGCCATTTGTCAGAAATGGTGTAGGGTCTCCTGCTTAGGCAGAGGCTTGGACTAGATGACCTACAAGGTCCCTTCCAACTCTGATTATCTGTTATCTGTTATTTTTATCTGTTCATTCATTCATTCATTTTAAAAAAAAAATATATTTGCTCCCAGCTTTAGAATGGAAGCATGTTTGGACAATAAATACCCTTGGCATACAGAAAATTTGTGAAGACTTGATTTATTTTTTAGAACTGAAGAACAGAGTTCTGAATTGAGCCAGCATTTAGTTTTTCTCTCTGACCACAAATATTCCTAATGAGCTCACAAACAACGAACATGAATACATCTTTCTCGCACCACTGATCTATTTGGCAGGATATTGCTCCTATTGTAACCCTAACATTAGGTTTTCACATGCCCTTGATAGCCCGTCCTACATGAATATATCTGATAAAGTCATTCAAATTAGTAACCATCATCACATGAATCAGTGCTCAATTATGTATTAACTACTGGCAATTGTTTAGAAATTAATATAAACTGTATTTCATTTCTAATTTTACTAATTTTACTTTGGATCTTAGGTACATATCAGAGCATAAAGAAGGGCTATAAATTAAGTTAATAAATATTCATAACATAATATAAACTCCCTACATAAAATCCCTAAAAGGCCATTGCAAGCTACTCATTTAAAGTTTTGTTTTGCTATCTGCAGTAGAAATCCTTTCTCTCTTTTTTTTTTAATACACACAAGGGGAACCTTAGCATACTAATAGCTGAGATGAGCATTTATTTATTCATGTGTTCAAACTAAAAACGTTGTTAGGATTAGAAGCATTTTGCCATTAAAGCTGACTTCCAGGGTACTGAGAAAAAGATGACAATTTTGGACAGTTGAAGTCTAATAGTTTTAGAGCTTTCTTATGAAACACTAAAGTGGAATTTTGTGTAAAAAGAAGTAGTGTTAATTGTTTTCTTTTTTCTTTCCATGATTGATGCTTTCTTTTAAAGTTGCTGTTGCCTCTGCACTACTCGGCCCCGTTATGCACCTGGTGTCACCATTGAGGAAGATAATTGCTGTGGCTGCAATACTATTGCCATTCGACGCCATTTCCTTGATGAAAACATGACTTCTGTGGACATTGTGTACACTTCATGTCATGATGCGGTAAGGGCTATATGAGAAATAACTTGTGCTGGAGAATACTGCTAAAGTGTTTCAGAGAAATGTGCTAAGGTAAGAATAGGAAAGCAGCTTTCAAACCCTTTATGTAAGAGGTCATTTCACAGATTTGGTAAGCATTGTTGATTGCTTTTCTATGTTTAATGTCTTGGAGAGAAAAAGCAGATGCCAAAAAGTGAAAAAGGGAGGCCTCAAACAATCTTAAGTAGTCCTATGGCTTTGATTCTGGCCCTACCATTGTTTCTTTCAGTCCTACTTTCCTTCCCATTTCATCCCCAACAAATATTATCAGTATAAGAATATGTGTTTGACTTTTCCACCTGGGGTAAAATAATGGAGCTGACAAATCTGAATTCTCTTTATCAGGTGTAAAATTATAAATTCCTGACAGAATTAGCTCAAAAATGTTGCTTCTCTACCAGAAATTAATTAGGAAAGAAAATGCATGGCATTTAGGTAAGACTAAATAGAAAGAACAAGTTTGGTGTAGTCATTAAGGCACTGGGCTAGAAACTGGGAGACCATGAGTTCTAGTTCCACCTTAGGAACAAAGAAAGCTAGATAACATTGGGCGAGGAAGAAGACAATGGCAAATCACTTCCAAAACCTTACCAAGAAAGCTGCAGGAAGTTGTCCAAGGAGTCAGCACTAACTTGAAGACACCACTATAAACATTAAATATTGTAATATACTTTATTACTTTTAGGTTTATGAAACCCCCTTCTACGTGGCTGTAGATCACGAAAAGAAGAAAGTAGTCATCAGCATTCGAGGAACTTTATCACCAAAGGTAATTTTTTTCCTGTTTTTTTCACTCACTTTCATGCTCTGATCCTAGAAATCTGCTAATGTGCAAGTGTAATAATAAGATTTGTAACAATGTCTAAGCCTCATAATGTGCAAGTCTTTTTCTCCTCACCCCAAAGGATGCTTTGACTGATTTGACTGGAGATGCTGAGCGCCTCCCTGTGGAGGGTCATCACGGAACATGGCTTGGACACAAGGTATTTATAGAATGCTTTTGATTTTAATTGGTTAATATATGCACTATAATTTCAAATCATTCCTTTAAAATTTCTCTTGGAATATATAATTTAAGATTATTTTTACCCCTTGTATGAAAGCCACAGCATGCAATCTGTTAGTACTGAAAAAGGTATAAAAAGCTGTTGAAAGTTACTTTCATTCAAATTGGTGTCCTCCCCAAAAACAACTGGCAGTTAAAGACTGATGGAACATGAAATATAATTCTGTAACAGAAGACAATTTTAACGTTCCAAGGAGTGCAGAATATTTTATTATATATTGATATGCTTAATAATTAGAAATACCTTTATTACATTGGATTATGGAAAATGAATGTGTGGATATACTGCCGATCAATGTTTCATTTATTTTGTTTGAATATACTGTGTTTTGAAATATGCAATAAAAGTTGAATGTAATGAGTCTGTATATCTAACAAATATGGCAAGAACAGAATTTAGAGCCATGTTGGTGCAATGGTTAGAATGCAGTACTGCAGGCTACTTCTGCTGACTGCCAGCTGACTGCAATTTGGCAGTTCAAATCTCACCAGGCTCAAGGTTGACTCAGCTTTCCATCCTTCCAAGGTGGGTAAAATGAGAACCCAGATTGTTTGGGACAATATGCTATAAACTGCCTAGAGAAGGCTATAAAGCATTGTAAAGCGGTATATAAGTGCTATTGCTATAAAAGCATTTATGACACCAGGATGCCAAAGATGTCACTGTACATCATCTGAAGATGCATCTGCATGCAAACCTACCTATCCATTACTCTGTTTGCTTTTGGAGAAAGCTTTGTTGCATTAAAAAAGTAGGAAAAACTAAGCCAAAAATTATAAAAGCCTGAGGTAAGAAAAGCAAGCATATGTACAATAGTTTACAAATGATAAAACATTTGACAGTATTACAGTGCAAGTGTAAGTCAGGAACTGCTTTCTTTCTCTGGATGATTTGTGGTGGCTCAGCCAGAACTTTTTACTACCAAAGAAGTTTTCCCTCATCTTGAATGACAGTGCTGGAAGCAAGGGGAGGGATTCTAAAAATAGATTATGAGTGGAAGAGCTTTGAGTTTCATTAAGTTGAAATATTTTAACATCATGCAGATTTTTTAAAAAAAGCTAGGAATCTTCAGGTGCCAATAGGTTACCAGTACCGATAACCAGGTTCTTTTAAAAAATAATAAAGATTTTGCAGATCTGCTGACCTCTGCTCTATAGTCAGTAAATCTGAAAAGATTATGTATAAGCAATTACAAATCACCATTTCAAGTGACATCTGCTGAATGCACTCACACAAATCTTAAATTACATTTTCCATCTTTGGAATTTGACATTCTTATGCCAGCCAGTGCATTCTTGTGTCTTGATAATTGATTCCATCTGGTAAGCATATTCTATTATAGCTTTTTCCAATCCTTATCCTGTGGAAGGCCTTGTTATCACTTCATAAATCCTTTTGAAAGATATAGAATAGATTTATATTTTTTTAAAATGAGTTGCCATTTTATAGATGCAAAAAGTAACATTTATGATCTGAATTATAATAGTCGATTCATATATCAGAGTATACCCATTCTTTCTGATTCTTCCCATTATTAGCAGATAGTTTCCCAGTTAAGTACCTAACTTCCCAGTTTTAAATACCATTCCTAATATTCCTAAAACACACTGAAAATAAATGATTCAATGCATTTTGTTTTTTTATTTACTAAATGTGTTTGCTGCCCATCTCTCTGCAAGGCAGATCTGGGCAGCAATACATCGAAACCATAAATATATATACCAGTGTATAAAATCACAATGAAATACAGACACTATACAACTAAAACTAAAAGATGGGAAGTTGATCAACCACCTGCAGTGTGATACTCCCCCATTAGCCCCCCCCCCCCCCCGCCAACTACAGAACCAAGTCTTCAGGGACTTATGGAAGGTCAAGAGGGCAGGAGCCAATCTCAGCGGGCAAGGTGTTCCAAAGGACTGGGGCCACAACAGAGAAGGCTCTTCTCCTGGACCCTGCTACTAAGAATTTCTTGACTGATGAGATCAGAGATCTGCAGCGTGTCTCATCTATCGGCATAGAGCTGAGACAATTTTGATTAGCACTCAAAAACTTCAAACGGTCTTGAATGCAGCGGTCCAGGTATAGGTCTTGACATGCTGTACATATCTTCAAGATCTGTTTTAGTTGTTAACAGATTTCTGGGTATTATCAGTAGCGCTGATTTAAATTGAAAAAGCCTTCTATGGCTTAACATTATGGAGGACTGCCTTACCAGCCATAATCTATTGAACTAATATATTCATGCCATATAAGAGATATATTGTCTCCCACTTTCATGAAGTGAAAGCACTGAGGCTTTTTATCTAGCAAATGTAGATACCCGTATTATGCACAATATTCCTAACCAGTTTACAGTAATATTCCGTATAAACAAAATAAATGTAACCCACAAACCTTACAACAAAATCATATCCCATCGCAGTTCCGCATCTCACTGATTGTCCAATTTACATTTGCTGGGTTCACTTTCATCCTAGGCCAATGCTTGTGTTGCTCTTTCTTTTACCACCACCCTAGACCTATGGAACTGCTTCTCATTAATTGAACTGGCCCCAGATAATGGTGGAACTCAGTTATAAGTAGAACAATTATTAAGATTAGGATTTTTTTTCTGATCATTCAGATCGTTTACTGAAAATGGTTATATTTTAATTTAGCTTGTAAAATTACCAGAATTGTGTTTGAGTATCTTAAATTACTGCAGTTCTTACTGTGAATATTTTGTTGATACACAACTATAGATTTTTAATTGTTCTAGATTGTTGAAAATTGTCTGGAGTCCCTGACAGACTCAGTAGCATACTATACAAGCATACTGTAATAAACTGTAATGTTGCAGTGCAACATTGTGCCATATAGAAAGGTGTCAGAGAGGGTTAGGATGAGGCAGAGTGCTTCTCTATCTGGGTATAGGAGTTTGTCTCTAAGTTGCTCTGCTTACCGACAAAAAACGCTTTAGCTATAGTTCTGCCAGGGATATCTTATCATTTATTTAAGCACATATATATTACTTGTCATACTATGCTTCACCTGGCAGTGTATAGTACTGAACAAATTTTATACCATAAATGTAGAATAATTAAAAAAGAATGTAAATTAAAATGTAGAAAACATGAACACAGTAGCGATGAGTGACAAAATTATAACAGGCTAGGGTTTGGATTGGAACTGAAACTATTTCATCAAAGTCTCTCTGTTTCCTTTAGAGATCTCCCAAGTTCTTTTCCCATTGATTCAAACTCTAGGGAAGTCCAAGAAATCTTGATTTCCCTTACTCAAACTAATATGAGCTACTAAGCTTTAGAAGTGGTGCTCAGTGTAATCTGTCCCTTTGATCCTTTATCAACATTGGATTTCCCATTTTACTGAAGAAGGAAAGAGTCACATTGCCTCAGTCACTTGAATTAATGTCTAATTTTTAAAATGCTGGTACAGCGTTTTAACTTTGTTAAAACTCACATTTTCTGTTTTCTTTGTTGTTTCTTTTTAGGGGATGGTGCTATCTGCTGAATATATAAAAAAGAAACTGGAGCAAGAGATGGTGTTGTCTCAGGCTTTTGGCCGTGATTTAGTAAGTTTTTGTTTTATTGCAATATGTTCATAAACTAGAGTTTTACTTCCATGTTTTGCTACTAACTATTGAACACTATGTCCAAAGTATTTGAAATACTTCTACAATTTAAAAATGTCCAGCATTTTCCACTACTCTAAGAACAATTACTTGAAACAATTTTTAAAAAATTTAAAAATTCATTTAAAAACAATTTATAATTTTAAAACATTACTGACATTCATTAACTATACACACCTTTTCAAATGAATTAATTGAAACCATTAAAATGTGATGAAAAGGTCCCTTATTACAAATGCTAAAAATAAAGTAAAATGTATTCATCACTTATTAAAATGTTACTGATTAAGAAGCCTTCACAAGTATCCATCTCATAAATAATGTGATTTCTCATTCATGCTAACTATGCTGTTTAGAATATGAGAAAATAGTCAATTGCCTGCAGGTGGCTTTTGTGCAACCCGAACACTCCTTTTTCATTTGCTATTAGAAAACATTTGCCACTAAAATTCAAAAACATCATCTGAAAACAAGAGTTTTTTCCTTTATAAAGCTGAGTGATAGTTATTGAAAAGATCATTTTAATTCAGAGTAATGGTGTACATTTATTTAAGTTAATTTAAATTTAATTAAATTAAAGTTAAAACATTTGGAATTGATTTATGTATTTAAAAAAAATTCATGAGCAAATTGTAGCAATTTTTTTAGAAGATTACAGATTATGTTTGCTAAAATTAAAAAGGTCTTATTTGTGAATGTTTTGGAAGTTTCTCATTGGTTATTGCAAGAAATTATGTATTGTTTTATTTGGTATTCTATTTATTTTTAAAAAATATCAGCCTGAGTGCCACTTTTTTTCTTTTGTTCCCCACTTTTTCATTCTTTAAATGTTACATTGCAATTTGTTACTATCAAAATGGCATGTTTAAATAGTGTTTTAAGAAAAATGCTTGTTTCAATACTAATTAAAACATACATTTTACACTGTGGTTTGAGACAATTAGTTTAAAAAGATATGGTAGATAACTGCATAAATAGATGGAAATACCTTAATCCTTCAAATATCTAAAAGGCTTTTGTTTTGTAGGGCAGAGGAACAAAACATTATGGCCTAATTGTAGTGGGCCATTCCTTAGGAGCAGGCACAGCAGCCATTTTGTCCTTTCTACTACGTCCACAGTATCCAACTCTAAAGTGCTTTGCTTATTCTCCACCAGGTGGGCTTTTAAGGTAGGTATCTACAGTATATTTAGAAAATAAGAGAATAAGGAACTCTAAGTTATGAGTCAGCAATGAGCTGCAACTGCCGAAAAAGGCAGTGCATTCCTAGGATACATCAAGATCACAAGAAGTGATAATACCTCTGAGATCTCACCAAACTTTGGCAAATAGTTTCAGGGTTTTATTTACCATTTTAAGAATAGTTACCAACTTTTTAAACTCCCCTGTTAGTAGGAGGATTTTTACATTCCATGTCAATTACTTCATTAGGTATTATCATACCCTCAATTATCCTGATCCAGCAACCTGTTTCTGCTGATAATTCCCTGCTCTTGCAAAGTCATTGTAGCAGAATTCTCTTTGATTCTGTTCATTCACCTTATCCATTACCTTCCATTTCTCTTTGCCACAGCCTTGCCAAGCACAGTTGATTTTTCTCATCCATCATGAAGTTGTGTCATACGCTAGCTAATGTGTCATACCTACTTCTGGTTAAATCCTAAAATGAAAAGAACGATAACATGGCTCAGAACAAATGGACAAGGCACAGCCACCAGATGAAATTGAGATTGGACCATCAGTCCTCCTGGAAATAGAATTAACGGGACTAGAAGACCTCCAAGCTCATTCCCAACTCTGTTATTCTGCCCTTTCCCTTCATTCCTAAGAAATTCCAGCCCCCAAGAATAAAGGATGTGTGTGTGTGTATAACACACACATAGTTCGCAAATTGTGAGACTGTATCATAGCAGATGCCTTCTGGAATACCATATTGCATAACATTGCATAACAATCCTGACCCTATTGACCTTTTTGAAAGCTTTAAAAGACCTGATTCTTTTTTTAGTTAGAGGAGCCCAGATGGGTTTGTTGCTGGTTTCCTTGGCTGCCAATTTGTCCTTGTCTTTGCTGATTGTTTGGTTCTATAGTTTAACAAGTTATTAACCACCCAGAATTGAATTTGAGAGATGCACAGGCATATAAATAAACAAACATTCTTAAGCAGTTAGCAAAACTGCATTCAAAGGAGATGGCCCATCCTATGTAATTTAAATCTATGCCTGGCCATCTGTTCAGTGATTCCAGCAACTGTAGATTAGGCTTCAGTTACTTGTGATCAGTCTTTGCTGTGATGTGCTAATTTTCCAACCTTGCTTACATTTCATATATTCTCTTTTGACTCTGCATGTGTAGCAGTAATTTATGACTTGAATATAGGCCAGAGTATGATTATCACCTTAACAGAACAGTCAGTCATTCTTTTTTCATGACCATTGATGGATTCTTTTTGCTGTCCAGAGTATCCATACTAATGATCTCCAGAGCCATCATTCAAATATGTTGTTACTCTTTCAATGTGTTAAGTGTTCTATTTAGATTGGGGGAGGGGCGGGGAGAAGATAACCAAAATAGAATTACTCTTGATTTTGTTTTAAGTGTATCCATCCATATCTTCTTCCCTAGGAGTAATCTCTTCTTTATTTTCCTTACAATCCAACTTTATTTTTCAGCCCAAGAAAATTAAAATTCTATATGTGTTCTTAATATTTGACATTATCCCTTATTTTTCTTTTTTCATTTTCCATTTTTACTTTATAATTACGTCTTTCAGCCTTTCACTTTCATCCCAACTTATTAGTGTTTCATCCTCCAATTTTGAATTCGTCATCTCTTCCAGACCTGCCATTTGTATATTTGTTGTACAAATTAAATGGTATGGGAACACAATAAAACCTTATTTTCCTTTATTCTGAAACACTGTTTCTCCACACTGTATGGTTGCAATAATTTTTTATTCTTTAGAAATATTCCTCAGAAGAATAATCAGGTGTTCTGGCATACATGATATTCTTAGTGCAACTCACAATTTGGCATAATGTGATCAATGAAGCAAAATAAACATCTTTCATTTATTTCCTTTCTCTGTCCCTTATTTTTTTTTATGTTAGCTGTTGAGCTTATATCCCTATCTTTTTTTAAATCTTCCTCTTCATTTGGTATTTTCCTTTTTATACTTGGCACTATTCTTTTCTTTAAGTTCTTAAGCAAAACTTTGCTTGTGTGAAGAATTAGTTTCGAGGGTTTGGTAATATGTGGATCTTCTTCCATTTCCCTTTTTCTTTTCTTTTCTTTTTCTTTTTGGTGTACATTGATCTTCTCCAATCTCTATTTGTTTCACATTTATTATCATAGAAATGTTAGCACTTGAATTGCCTCCTCTGCAATATTAAACAGTTCAGCTGGTGTTTCAACTAGGTCTTGGTACTTTCCTATTATCAGGCAGTCTAATGTCTTTGATAGTTAAATTTTTTAATGGATTTGGTTCCTGAATATATATTCTCCCTCTACAAATCTTCTGTCAAACTAAAATCTTATGTGTAAAGTATTTCAACATTGACTTTCCATTTTCCTGTAACCTCGTATGTTTCTATTAGTTCTCTTTTGTGATTTCTACTAAGTATCTATCTTAGTATACATTTCTGTGTACTGGCAAATGGGTGATCTACTGGGATTCCCAGGAGTAAATTTTATCTATAATCTATAATCTATATAATCTATAATTCTCTGCAAATTGCTTTTCTCCTGATATCGAAGTACATTATGCAGACCTGAATCATCATCATCATTATTGACTTAATCTTCAATTTGATTCACAGTCTGGGATTGGTAAAAACTAAACAGTTCAAATTCTAACCAAGGACCTAAATGCTGTTAGAATAACATCTGAGCAGATGGACAGTTTTGAGTAAGGTGGTGTTTTTGCAAAGTCAGAATATTCAGGTCTAATAAATTCAAAATTTCCATGTATCTAGGTAGCCCTTTGGGTATTACTCCAAGGACTCCTATTACTATTAGTACAACCATTGATTTCTTCCTCCACAATTGTTCAATTCACAAATCACAATATTTTGGTGTTTTTTTTTCCCTAGCTGTTTCTCTTCAAGTCATGCATCACCTGGTAATGCAATATTAATTCCCCCCTCCCATAATAGTGACATCACACATGTTGTGTGCCAAATATCTGATTGTTTGGATCCAAAAGTTCCATAGGATCTTAACCTGTTCGTTTTCAAGAACTTTGTCAACTTGGTGTTCCCAGTAATTTTTTCTGCATTTGAATCTAAACTTCTGGCAAAGCTTCCAAAGTGTTGTTGTTGTTGTTGTTGTTATGTGGCGTAGTAACAGTAGCCAGGAGACCACAATGCTATTGCAGAGTAGTAGTTTGGCTGCCAGTTTACCAGCTCTGTTGTAGGCTACACTCATGTGCTTCCCAAGGTGCACCTCAGGAGGGCGAGTTGGTTTAGCATCAGTAAGAAAGGGAGCTACTTTTCCTGCAGCAGTATCCTAGGCTCCCTCCTCTCCCTAGAATCACCTCATAAATGTTAGGCGTACAGAAGTTGAGGCAAGTGACAAAAGCTTACCCCGCTACACAGTGCTAGGACTGAAACCATTGGAGCAGAGACCATCTCCAGCTTCATTAAGCCACTGAGCCACCATGCCTCTTGATCTGGAGCATTGATTTCTTACTTGTTATACTTACTTTTTTTTACATTGTTAAATATTAGCATCATTTTCTTGTATCCTTTTCTTACAGCGAAGATGCTATGGAGTACTCCAAAGAATTTGTGACTGCAGTTGTGCTAGGCAAAGACCTTGTTCCCAGGCAAGTCAGTTCATTTGGAATTCTTTATTTCATTTTTCTTGTATTTATACTAAGCTATAATGCCTTGTCTCAATTCCACTCAAAATCAGTTTCATTTTACCACTTAACAACCATTCTTATACTTCTTCCTTGACTTTTTTTTCCAGCTATCTACCCATTAACTGTATCTTTTCCATAAACTCATATTGTACTTTACCATATACTGGATATTGACATAACCCTTCTTAATCTCTCAACTGTCTCTATTACTGAAAAAGGTGAAATATGCACAAATATGTAGCACCGCCTTAGTTATTTATGCTGTCATTTATACATTTGTACTTTCTCCCAGGTCACTTCTCCTGAGCCATCTTACATCTGTGAATTATCTCCTGGCTATATCTTCCGTGCCATCTCCCATCTATGCACTTTATCTTGATCTCTGAGTGTTGTCATCTTCCTTCTGTCTAGCATCTTTGTATTATGTGAGCTGTGTCATCTTATAGTTGTGTACAATTTATTGTTTTATGTATATTATCATTCCTTGCTTACCTGAATGGTATTTCATTTCAGATGTGTGCATTGTTACTTTCTGTTTTTTCAGTTTCCTTGTCATTGTAGCTAGAATGCAGTTATGAATCTTTGCACAGTACTTTTTTTAAGTCACAGAAGCAATCATTCTCACATAGTTATTTTAGGAATGTTGACAGCTAAAGACAATGAGCAAGCACTATAATGGAAGTTGTAGTGAAGACAAGATAGTCTCCATGCAAAGGGAAAATTGTATAGCAAATCTTCCCAGCAAAAAATTGGCAAACACCACATTGCTATTTTTGACTCTTACAAAAAATGCAGGATATAGGAAGGAAGGAATGGCTACAGAAAAAAAGATTCAACTGACTATCAGTAATAATCACATTTAACATACTTCATTTTCCCAATAGAGGCAAAAATATTAATACCTATATTTGATTTGTGTAACATCTGAAATCTGTGAATTAAAAATACTGATGCATATCTTCATAATCTCGTAAAGGAAAATCTGTCTATATCTTCTAGTATCAATAGTGATCTGTTTCAGATCACTATTGCTTAGTTCACCTATAATGTGAGCTCTAAAATGTCACTCATGTCCTAGAGAGCATAGTAACTCTTCCTGCATATGTTTGGTCAACTGTATGTTTTGAACAGTAAGCAAGTGTTATTTGCTAAGTGCTTGAACTCTTGTTTGGTTATTAGTAGCATACAGTATCTAAATATATTGTATGTATTATTTAAATCTTATGATAATGGATGAAATCCAGGGTGTTTATATACTTTGTCCTTATCATGGGTAAGTTATATCTGATTAAATCTCTCTTTGCTTTTCTATTTATGATTCTCATAATAGTTAAACCTGCATCATTGCATCTGATACTCTTTATCATTCAGGATTGGCCTCTCACAATTGGAAGGATTTCGCCGGCAACTTCTTGATGTTTTGCAGAGAAGTAATAAACCAAAGGTAAACAAATTTCAAATCTATCTGAAATGAAAGTAATTGTTATAAAACTGTTCTTTAAATTTTTTTTGTTTCGGATTTATGTAGGTTGTAGTTGTCTTGTAACTGTCAGGTGCAAGCAACCAGAGCTGCTCATAAATGGCTGAAGCAAGGAACTTTATTGTTTTCTACCTAAATTACAAGAATCTCCCCAGAGTCACTTGCCTTTCCCTGGAAACAACCTGATAAAGTTTCATGGATCTTGGGGGCAGACACATTTTTGCCTTTTGTGACTATGCAAAAGCTAAGCCTTAGCTTGATCTCCCCCCTTCCAACCTAGCTGGCAGTTTCCTGTTAAGAGAACCTCACACTTTGGATATGGTACATATCCAGCTGTAGAATTCTAATCCATAAATTGTTTTCATGTTAAATTATTGGACTATTTTTAAAAAATACAGAGTTGATACTGCTTTCATTTTTGTTTATTCATTTATTAAATGTATAGGCTGCCCAAGACCTTCACAGTGTAAGATGTAAGGCCTTTTTGAAGCTGTACAATGCATACTCCAATAGCTTGGTCTGTGTTTCCTCTAAAGAGATTTATGTGTAATTCCAAGTGAGAAATATAAAGTGTCCTAGTAGCCGTAACCATGTGTACAGCCAACTTTATATACTTTACAGGAATATGAGGCTTAGTAATACCTAATTACTTTAGGTATTCTGTGAACAGACGTACTTAACTTACTTAACAGGAAGCAGCTGGAAAAGAAAAGAAAAAATGATATTTAAAATCTTTTCATTCTATGAATTATTGTATTTCTTGCAAGTATGAATTATTTATTTTGACAATCAACAAACATTGTATCAATTTTCTCTAAACATGTACAGTACATTTTGCATTTATTTTCCATTGAATTCCTATTGTTGCTTTTCTAGTTTTAAAAGTATTGGAATTCCTAACTGGACCTATTCTCAAACTGACACATTATTTAAAGATGTGTTTCTTGCATAATACTTCAGTTGTATTAATACATCATTGAAGAGAGATAGTTTACCATTAAACCTACTTAAGGGTCATTTCCTGCAAGGCGATCAAACCGGTCAGTCCTAGAGGAGATCAACCCTGACTGCTCTTTAGAAGTCCAGATCCTGAAGATGAAACTCAAATAGTTTGGCCACCTAATGAGAAGGAAGGACTCACTGGAGAAGAGCCTAATGCTGGGAAAGATTGAGGGGAATAGAAGAAGGGCACAACAGAGAATGAGTTGGCTGGATGGAGTCACTGAAGCAGTAGGCGTGAGCTTAAATGGACTCCAGAAGATCGTAGAGGACAGGAATGCCTGGAGGAACATTGGCCATGGGGTCGCAATGGGTCAGACACGACTTTACAACTAACAACAACAACAAGGGTCAGGATATTTTTTAAAGTTTAAGGAAATAAAGAATATGTATGCACATCTTAGCACAGTATTGTGCTATGTACATATGTATTTATTAGATGTATATCCTGTTTTTTTCTCCAGGAGTTCACAAGACTATATAGCACCCTCTCTTCCAGTATTTTTCACAACTCCTCTGAGGTTACATTGGACAGAGAGAAAGTGACTGGCCCAAAATTATCTAATGAATTCTGTGATTAATGGTAGACTTGAACCTGGGTCTCTATAATCCTTATTCATTATTTTAACTACCATAGCACAGTTTCTCTGGAATAAATCAGTAAATATAGATGAAAGAGTAACAGAACATATGAATTACACAAAAGGTGGTTTCAGCTGTAGTATACTGTGTTGATGAATTTCTGCTATTGTATTGATTAACATATTATAGTTGAATGAAGGCACAGTGTTAAGTCTAAATGGACAAAAATGTTCAGTCTGTCAAGCTGAGATACTGTGGCTTCTGATACACACAAACACACCCACACCCACTAACTTTAAAGATTAAAACCATGAGAAAAAATGATTGCTGTTTTCTTTCATCTGCTAGCTTTTAATAATGGACAATTCATATTCCTTTATTACTTTTTTTCCCCCTTGGATAGTGGAGAATCATAGTTGGTGCAACCAAATGCATACCCAAGTCTGAGCTCCCTGAAGAGCCTGAAGGGAACTCAATAACCAGTAACCGCCTCTGGACTCATCCTAGTGACTTAACTATTGCCCTGTCAGCCAGCACACCTCTCTATCCTCCTGGGCACATTATCCATGTGGTTCATAATCATCCTGTTGAACAGTGCTGGTAAGTGGAGGAATAATGACTAACAAAGTTATCGGAGGTTTTTAGAATGAAAAAATATAGGTCTGTTTTTTCAAAATATCTCTTTGAACTTTTAATATTGGTGATGCTTATTGATGATGCTGTATATATTTTCATTATTACTTCCCAGGGAATTGTGGTTTTGTTTTACATGTTCTACACCAGGGCTATCAAACTCGCAGCCTGTGGGCTGGATGCGTCACATACTGGCCATGCCCACGCCCAGTTTAGGGAAGGGGAAAAAAGTCCTGATATGTCACGTGACGCTGCTGTGACAATGTGGGTTTGACACCCCTGTCCTACACATACCACAAAATTAAATAATTATCTCTCCTCTTCTCCTACCCCAAATGTAACCAAAAAATGTAAAGCTGAATAAAGATAACACCCACCCAAATTGTTTGCAGGTAATGGTACTAGTCATTTCAATTAACCGGAACTTAAAGGTCCTGAAACAAAGGCAATTCACTATCTATTCACAATACAAAGCCAGCTGAGTATCTGCTTTATTAGTTGAAAGATAAGCTACAAAGTTGAATTTCTGAATTAGAAGTAATTATAGTTCAGCTAAGAAGTACAATATGGACATGTTCCTGATGTTTTTTCATTAGTTTTTTTAGGTTTGCAGTACAGTTATGCTTAATGTCTACTGACAATCATGTGTCTAAGGAAATACATTGTATAATATTGATATATACTTATACAATAAAATGCAGTGTTATGCAATGAAATGGTTTATTCATTATCCTGATTCTTGAATTAAAAAGTTATGTAAGGAAAATGCTGCAGTGGCAAGGCAGAAGATTTGAATAAATTCTTTGTGTTTACTCTGCTTAAATCACACAGTAGCCTCATAAAAAGATAAATTAGAAGTGATGGTTAATGACTGCCTCATCTGATTTCTTTTACAGCTGCTGTGATCAGGAAGAACCTACGTACTTTGCCATTTGGGGAGACAACAAGGCATTTAATGAAGTGATAATTTCTCCAGCAATGCTACATGAACATCTGCCATACGTAGTAATGGAGGGTCTTAACAAGGTAATAATCATTCAATGGTTTTGGGATTGAATGATGAGTGAACAATTAGACACCATGCTGAGTGTCTTGATGAGGAGAACTAATGTAGATTCTATGATTCACAGATATGGAATGAGTAGAACATAATGTAACAAAGTTTTCATGAATGCTTCTACATTTATGTACTGCAAAACAGACACATGTACACAATGCACTGATGATGTTACCTAGTTTGGGTAATAAAATGTCTGCAAGAAAACAAGCTCAGAGAGCATCAAGGACCCATCATATACACAATCATTCCGTTTAACTCATGTTCTGAGTAATGCAAATGCATTACTTTTGTAAAACCAGACTAAGATAAAGTGGTCTGTGCTTACGTTTACTTACTTACATCTGCTATAATATCTTGCTGAAAATTACCTTGGAATGTCATTGTTTACTGTAATTGGCAAGGAGATTTTTGGAAGGGAGAGCAATTGTCATTTGAGCAACAAGTTGGATGTCTGTTGATTATATTGAGCTGGTACTTTCCCTGAGTATAATAGTTTCTTATCCATCTTACCATTGGTAAGATCTTAATTATACTACAAATCACATGATCTGTTATAGGCTACTTTAACATGATCTACATTTGTCTTAGCATTTATTTAACAGTACTCAACAGAAATGAAAATACAGGAAAGTTATTATTCACTAATTTATTTTACATAGGTCCTGGAAAATTACAACAAGGGCAAAACAGCTTTGCTTTCTGCAGCCAAAGTGATGGTGAGTCCTACAGAAGTGGACCTCAACCCGGAATTAATCTTCTTGAATCAACCCCTGCCTAGTAGACCTTCTGTACAGATTGGAATTGGAGACATAACAGTGGACAGAAGGAACAGCAGTACTAAGTAAGGATATGGCTCTGATTTTCTAGAAGGGCTTACGAGGGCTGCTGGTGATCTTATTCCTTCCTGCTATCCTGTTGGTGAATATCATAATTTCATAAAGAATCATGCCTTCTGTATGCACTTCTGTAGCTTGTTCCAGGAAATTATAGTACTAGTCTTACCTTAGTCTCATATAATTTGTACTCTCTTTTTGCAGGACTAAGGCTCACACTGAAATCAGTTTGGAAGGGTTTTATGAAACCAAGCTTCTGTCACCAGTGCAGAAGGATCCTGTGGAGGTCCTGCTACTAGATACCAAGGAACGCCTGTCTGTAGAACTGCAGGACCGGCGTGCTCCTCTTGCTACAATGGAGAGCCTATCTGATAATGAATCCATCTATAGCTTTGATTCAAGGCGTTCCTCTGGTTTCCGTAGCATCCGTGGCTCACCCAGTCTCCATGCAGTCATGGAAAAAGATGAAACTCATTGTTTTTATATTGATCCAGCAATTCCTGAGGAGAACCCCTCTCTGAGCTCACGGACAGAACTGCTTGCTGCTGACAGTCTCTCCAAACACTCCCAGGAAACTCAACCTCCTGAGGGCCTGCAGAACAGTGGAGAGACCACTCCTCAGCGGCGATGCAGCGATGAAGGCGCGGGTAGTGATACAGATCATATTTCCTTTACTCCAGAAGAATTGACCCTCCAAAATGGGAGGCTAAGTGATGCCCCCAGCCCACAAGTGTTGGAGTTTGCAGAGTTTATAGATAGTCTCTTTAACCTGGACAGCAAAAGCAGTTCCTTTCAGGACATTTACTGCATGATGGTATCGGACAGCACCAGTGATTTTGCTGAGATTCCCAAGTCAGTCAGTGACCAGGAGATCTTGCTAAGAGCACAGTATGAACCCAATTTAGTCCCAAAGCCCCCCAGGTTATTTGCAGGCTCAACAGATCCTTCCTCAGGCATATCTGTTTCCCCTTCTTTCCCTCTGAGTTCTTCTGGAGAGCTTATGGACCTCACTCCTACAGGCATGAGTAGCCAAGAATGCCTCACCACTAACAAAATCCGGACTTCCACTCCCACTGGAAATATGACCAGTCCTGCCAAACAAGAAGACCTTGTGATCTCAGCCCTCTAATATAGGAGAGAAGGTGCAGAATACCTAATCCTATAATAGTGAATCTTGGGACAGCACTTGGAGGAGCTGGTCTCTTGGCAAGTGAGAATGGGTGAAAATGCATGGGGAAGTATAGTTTCCCTTTCTGGGTGCTACACTAATGGCACTGCAAAGGATTTCAGCATGAAAGATGCCACATCATGGGTCATGTTCTTTAGTTAGGGAGAAAATCACTGCCTAATGCAGCTTGCTGCTTTTCAGGGTCTTGTTCACTGAAGTTAGATGATTGGTTTCCCTACCTCAGCATATTTCTTTAACAAGAAGGCAGACTCATTGCCTTTCCTGCTGAAATTATGAACGTACTGTCCATGGGCTACATAATTAGAGTAACTGAGGTCTGATAATGCCCAATTGTCATGTCAAAATCAAGGAAATTCTGACATTGGGCTTTATTGCACTAGTGTGTCATGTTTGATCCAAGTACCTGTTTATTGTTGTCACCATGATTTTTTTTAATGACATGCTCTCCCGTTTTATAGCCATTGACTGCGTTCCAGAGGAATGCAGCCTCCTGCTTTAAACCCTAACTGGATGCAGTGAGAATTGGGATGGGGCAACCTGTGCTCCTCCGATTAGCTCTGTGTTCAGTGATATCTGCTCTTCTTCTAAGAAGAAAGAAAATACGTGTGCTGGAGAGTTGAAGGCCATTTCCATCTTTCATCACCCACTGGAGGGGTGAACAGTCTCTTGGGTCTCACATTGTTACACAGCTCCCCAAACCACTATGAAATAGAGACAATCTTGCTCTCTAGTATAATTGTCATCTTTATTTGCATGGATTAATTGGTCTAAACTAGCTTTTGTTCTTCAAGAAGCTTGCCTATGCCCTGCATTATTCCCCAAGTCCTTCAGTATGGAACTATTTTGTTCCCATTTATAATTGCAGTATAATATTGTCTGTCTCTGAATTCAGGAAAAAAGGGGCTTTTACTGCATATTGAAATCTCATGTATGTTTACAGATCTACTAAACATTTGGGAGGTAATCAGGAAATGTCTACTTTTGTGGGAAAAATGTGCTCTCTGCCCTTCCCATTTCTCTATTGACAAGGGGCCCTAACTCAGCCAGGGAAAAAGTAAGAATAATTGCTATTACATATCCTTACTAGAAAGAAAGACTGGAATGTTGGCATTAACCCTCTGTGTAGTGCATCCTAACACCCAACTGAATATTACGGGCTTATGAATATGAGGTAACTGCACAACAGCAGCTCCTGAAATCGCATCTCAGCTATTAATCTGCAGTTTGGTGCTCACAATTATGTTTATGACAACAGGGTGACACTGTGTAAAATTGCAGGGATTTTCCAATGGAGAAATTGGGGATGAAATAACATTTATGTAGAAGTTAAACACTTGATCTACATGCATACAATAATCTTGTATTGTGCTAAAATATAACTGAATATGACTTTAATGCCACAGCAAATTTTTACCTTCAGACTAGTTCAATATACTGTGTCTGGGTTCTACAAAGTACACTAAACTCATCTTACAGGTCATGAAGTATGTCCTTAGTAAATCCCTTAAGTTTGCAGCTGTAAGCCTCCAAGTAGGCTGTTAAAATAAAGTGTTTTTGAGGAATTTTTTAAGCTCCCATGAATGATTAGTATGCTATGTTATGCTTAGAAGTTGTACATTGTGAAGAAGATTGAGAAGAACTATACTTTGTGGTAACAGATAATGTAACCCTGCATATCTACTTGTAAGTCTCAGTAGGCTCAGTGAGACTTTTTCACAGGTAAGTGTGCTTGGAATTGCAGTCTTAGTTCTAGGAGACTGTCTATATTCAAATTACTGCCTTCTATACTTTTAACACTGCATTTATTTGAAATAAGTGCAATTTACTTGAAATAGGTCTGCAGTAAACTCATGTGACTCCCATTTGAGAAAATGCATTGAATTGGGCTGCAAAATTTGGTTATAAAATAGTATACTTACATTGCATTAGTGTAACTTATTTTACAACATGAAGGATGCTGTTGAAACTGCGGCCTTTGGTATTTATATGCTCTTAAGTGAGACAGGTTAACTCTATTTTAAAGTGATTATGCTTTGGAATTATAAATTTCTACACTTAACATAGTATTAATTTAATAATTTAGGGTTATTCCAGTTCGTTGTATAGCTTTGTTTTCAAATGTTCCTCTTTTTCCAAGAGTTCTTGTATCAGTCAAGAACAATTCTGCCCATCTTCAAGAAAAAAAATCTGTCTTTTGTACATAGTACAACACAATAGTAGTTGTTGTCACTCATTTAGATTACCATAAATATGTGCTACCCTAGGCTAACAAAATGTTGTTCTTCACTTAAGAAATAATAAGAATAATAAATAAATAATAAAATAAAATAAATTACAAATAGAAATAACATTGAGCTATTTAAGGTAAATTCACATTTTCAAACATTGGGATATTTTTTGTGATGAAAGCACATAACAAATACTTTAATGAAATTTGGAAAAGAAGAGATATTGGTAAGTTTAAGGTGCAGGTCCTTATGATGAGTTAGACACTCCAGATTGAGTGGCTTAAGGATCTGAGGTAAACAATCTAAATTGGATGGTTTCAATCAATCACATAAAAGCAATGTTTTGTGAATTGAACTACCGTATTTTTTGCACTATAAGATCCACCTGACCATAAGATGCACCTAGCTTTAGAGGAGGAAAACAAGAAAAAAAAATCAGGTGAAGCCTGAGAGGATCACAATAGGTGTCCTCTCATGTGCCAGCTCTGCCTATTGACTCCTGCATTGCGGAAGAGACAGAAGAGACGAGGTTCAGCACTATAAAAGGACCCTGCTGTGGCGGCCCAACTGCTATTCACCAAAGGACTGACACCAATGCATAGACATTTCCACCCACTTTGCGGCGGGTGGGTGGGTGGGGGAGAGTGTGTCTTATAGAGCGAAAAATACGGTATATTCAGTTATTATGTTAGGGCTATAATGTCTGGTTTGCAAAATCCAGAGTTGATGTTTCTGTTTTTGCTAATATCGAATGGTTATCTAATGATAGCCCTAGCTAATAATTAGCACCTAGAGAATTCTTTAAACATCAAAGCACTTTACAAATTAAATAATCTTTCCAAGCTAGGTCATGAGAACATCAGATGGGAAAAAGGGTTTATGTTTGTAATTGAAAGAAGCCTATCTGATGTATTATTTGAGATAGCATTGTTAAAAATATACAGATGTTATATCATATAGGCTTTCTTGCTTAAAAGAATTATTTTAGAGTTAGAGAGTATTGAAAATGATGAGGTAGCTGATGCAGCTTTGCTTGAAGAAGAATTTAATTTATTTTCCTGATGGTAGATCAAAGCTATTGCACTACAATGTCACGTCTGACCTGAAGGCAACTTTATTGTCATTTCTTAGAGGTTGTTATTATTTTTATTTTAAAGTTGTTTGATAGTATCCTTAAGATTTTTCTTGTTTGGGGCGGGAAGAATTTATCTAACTGAGTCCCAGATTATTTGTATAATTTGAGGGTTTTTTGTTCAAAAAGAAAAAAACACATTGCAGTGACTCATATTCTTCAACTAAGCTTGAGTGGCTATAATAAAATGGGAGTTGACTGGGAATATTTAGTTGTGTCAGTTTACAACATTCCATTTGCCTATTATATTCTTATTTATCATATTATTTTAGCGCTAGTTGACTATTTTAATATAAATCTAAGTAGTATATAAACATATCCAGCAATATTAATATTCATTTCAACTGGAAATGATCTACAACTGACATAAATTCAGTGGCCTGTTAAGTTTCATGCCTAAATGTGGTACTACCTCTTTCATTCCTAAAAAATGCTACTGTTCACATATATGCTCCCTCTACCTTGCTGAATTGGTTTTCATCATCTCCCCGCCCCACCCCACCCCAGGTCTGAAAAATGCCACTCTATTTAGTTATAATCTATTATTGTTCTACATTAATAGTTAATAGATCTTGAATGGAAATTATACCACTCGAATGAATGTTTGAAGCAGAGTTGGCCATCTGATTTACACTAGCAAGTTGGATTTGTGCACTTTAACAAATGTTAAATGCAAAAGTTCTTAAATATGCTGATGCTACTTTGCCAAAGATGCCCTCAAAATCTTTCAGCTGACATGTTATAAATTAGCACAGCTAGGCAATCTGGATCTTTTGCACAGCAATGTGGGTTAGGATTATACCTAATGGACAGGGATTCAAAACAAAAACAAAAAATAAAGTAAGTGGGGGCTCCAAACTGTCAGTCTCTGAATGTGGCTAAAGAATATATGTGACACATTTTTATCAATAGGTCTTTTATTGTGCTTAAATATAAGTGTATAACAAAAAATATTTACAATAAAATTTCAATGACTGATTTAACCATCATCAAATATAATTGGAAACAAGTACATAAACTTGCATTTTGTTTAATTATTTGCACAGTTTAAAATAATTTATTGCTGTTCAGATGAATTAGTGGAAGGTTGTTTCCATTATAAATAACTGAAAGAGGGTGTTCTTAAAATTTACCCAGATCAATAGTGTTTTTGTTAGTTCTTCTGAACATGTTTTTTCCAGACATAAATCCTATTATTGAAAGATTTGTGCCAAATGTGGAGAATGGAAACTTAATCTTATGGTAATTCATGTGGTTTTAAATATACATTGATCTTTCCATATTTTTGTTCCTCTTCAATAATCTGCAGTTTTCATTTCCTGTTCTATAATTTTTCAAACATGTTGATTATAATTATATTTTATCAACTTTCCCCCTGTATGCTTGATGCTAAATACTCATTTTCTTTGCCATCATTTAATCTTAATTAGCACTGGAGTCATCTTATTGTTTCAAAAAACCTGTTTTCTCAGTTATCAAGCTTTCCCACATTTTAAAATTCAAAACTATCCATGGGAGTGCTATTGTTCCAAGCCTGTTTTCCAAGTCTTCAAATTACCATATTCAAATTACAATTCTTCTTCCAAATAACACATCCTTTGTTCTTCAGATTGCCATGGGAAATACGATTACACAAGTGTTACTGAATAATGCCTTTGATGAGCACATAATTTCTCCTTCATGTAGTTTGAAAACCTCTGGGTCTTTTTTTGTGCAATTAATTACCATTTCTCCTACTATGCAATTGTAATTTTGAACTATCAAAGATCAGCTTTAAAATATATATATATATGTACATATGAGGAATGGCTACATGCTACAATTTTGCTTTGCCCTACAGTTTCAAGAAACCTGGTGTATTGTGTCTAGTTCAAAGCCAGCATTCAAAAAGACTTCTCACTTCATAGGAAAAGTGATGGATGGCAACTAAAAAGTCCATCCTTAATACTGGTGGTGGTGGTGGTGGGTTATTACTATGTAATGTGTACTGCTAAAGATAAAATTGTACATAATGAGTCCTATGAAACAATCTTACATTTCCATAGTCCATCTTGCCCAGGATTGACTGTTCTGGACATGTTTTTCCAGTGCCTCAGGCAGAGGGTTTTGGATTTGTTGAAGATTGAATCAGGGATTTTATGGAGACAGATTATGTGTTCTACCATTGATTTATGGCTTTAACAATAACAACACTAACAAAATAATCCTTGATTAAAGCTTGCTCTAGGAAGTTTTAAATTTAAACTGAAAAATATCCAAATTATTGCACCAGAAAACATCCAACTGATGTTCCATAAATTTTAATTTATAATATTTAATTAAATCATATTTTATATTCAAGCCTCAAGCCTGGGGCCTATTAAAACCTAGAAACGTGTTGACAGAAATATGCAAGGTTTTTTTGCACAATCTTGATGTCCTTTGTTTCTGAATTGTAATTATTTTTTTCTTTAGCACCTAGTATTAATGTTGGTATAGAAAGTGACATTGAAATATTGAAATGTCTGCCATGTGCTTGTCTTCTCAAAATGTACAAATTAAGATATCTTATTGAACATGGTGTATTCTCTTCTGATAATTGTTACCTTTAAATATTATTTGTATAAAATAATTCAGATTACTTGATCCAGAAGGCACATTGTTATGAAACCATCAGTCAATTGGGAAGATTTACACATGTGCAAATGCACGCACCCCATTAGAGACCTAGCCCGAAATGCTTTCACATCAAAGTGGTTGCCAAACTTTAAGGAATTGGAAGGCAGAGGTGGGAGAAGTTGGGGTAGGTTTTGTACGTAATTTCAGAGATTAGAAACTTCTAGAGAAGTGAAAGTAAAACACTTTATTTGATTTCCTCTCTAATGGGGAATAGACAAAAAAGATCATCAGCTCTGGAATACATTTTCCACCCAAGGCAATAATAGCATTGAATCACTGTATCCAAATCTGGACCATATTATAGAAATGTGGTAGTTAAAAACTGGAGGCCAACCTTGCCCACTGAAACAGCTATACACGGCACCTTTCTGTGTTAATATCTTTATCTGGCTTCCTCAATTTAACAATCCTTTTAACCATGGGGTTTAATTCCAGGGTCAGTTAGTAACTTTTAGAACATATTGTGTAGGACATTCAAGCACATATTAAGTAATAAGTCCTCAGTTATCACAAGATTTTTTAAAACTAATATTGAACAGTGGATTGTAAATAAAACATGCATGCTGCTAAATTTATCCCAGATTATTTCCTTAACTCAGCTAACATTAAAATAAATTTACATCTCTCCATTCAGTTTCTCTAATTTGCTTTGCTTCGGGTTATCTTGGCATCAGTAATTTAATTTTATAGTAATTTATGGTAATCCAATTTTATATTTAAGACACACTTCTCCTTTTTATTTTTTATAATTTTGCAATATTCACATTTTCCTATTTCAAACCACTTATTTCCTCAATTCTAGAAAATGCACAATTATTTGTACTTTTACACTGCTTCTGGTTAATCCCTGCGGAGTTTTATGTTAGTTTTATTTATTTAACTACATTTGTATTCTGCTGTGCTCCCCTCCCCATTGCTAACTTCAGATGATAAAGCACATATCTGACAAGAATAGTAGCATTCAAACCCATAGTAGCAGCAGTAAAAGTAGTAGTAGTAATAGATACAAAATAATCTTATATAAATAGCAGTTAAAAGCCTATCCCTGTTCTGATCTAGGGTTCACAAAATCACGAAACACTCCTTGTCCCAACAAATCCCTTTTTTATTAGGCTAATGTGAACTATCATTCACATCCAGCAAAGTCCCGGAAAACAGCCTTTCAAGGGTGAATAGCAACCTCAGACCTTATCAGGCTTGGAGAGTTCCAGGCCGATAGCTCCCAGGTGCAACACTGTACAAGAAAATACTTGACAAGGAGTCTCTGAGATTCACGAACAAATCTTCACACTAATTAAATTAATTGTCTCCTGCAAACACCACTTCCCTTTCGCTTCTCTTTATTCCTGTACTTTATTCCTATACTGCCTGTATTTGTCAGTCTTTATAATTTATTGTTTTCCTCATCTATGAGCTTCTGGCAAGTCTCTGAACAAGCCACCCAATAGACCACCACTTCACAGGCACAAACATTTTATGTAACAGTAACTGAAAATACAATCACAGTGCCTAGAAATAGGCTGTTTTTAATAACATTGTGTCTTACATACTGCTTTTTCTGTGAAAATACCTTATTTTTGTAAAATAACTTTTGAGGTTCCACAGAGAACATGGATTAATTGGCTGTTTGGTTAAAACAGTTTCACTGTTATTTGAAATTTATTTCATTATGAGTAAACCCTATCTGTTTAAAGAGGCACATTGTAGCAAGAGCAGCACATAGTAATATCATGCATCATAGAAACCTGGTTATAGAACTCTTTGACATCAAATATAACATCGAAATCATTCATCTCCATTTGTATGAACATGAGAAGCACTTCTGACTTCCCACTGAAATTTCCATTCACATGGATAAATTTATTAAAACTTACATAGTCCGATGGTACATTATTGGAGAAATATACAGCTAGGTTTTGTACCTGAAATAAGAGTACAGTTGGAGTATTCTCTTTCAAATTCATTGCTGAACTGAATGTATATTTTCTTCACTATCTCCATAGAAACAAAATTTCTCCTATGTATATCTTTCAGGAAGGAAAAAAAGCTACCTTTCACTCACTACTATAAAATTTGGGATACGCCTTTCTCAGTTGAAATCCTTTCTTTGTCATCTTTCCTTGATTTCATATGTAATCTGCTATTTAGTAATACTGAACTGCCATAACATGAACATCCAGATATTAAAAGCTTTAGAAACTCTGACAAAATCAATGGACAATTCCCTTCACCATTGTTATCAAAGCTGTCCATTGTATCAAAGCTGTCCATAGAATAGCATGGTGGAGATTTATGGTAGGTAGGAACAGAAATATTTCCTTCACCCTTTTGTACACCAAGGCCCCGGATGGATTTCTGATATCACTGGGTGAAACCTCTCAAGGTCAAGAAAGGGCTGTGCTAGAAACATTTGGAGCTGCTCTGACGTTAAGGCACTGATAGTTGGCCTGATTCACTTTTATTATTTGTATATCGTATTTTTTTTTAGCAAGCATTAAGAAATATTCCTCTGATTTACAAAAAAGATAGGCAGTAATATATAAGGAACAGTAATGTTTAAAAACAAAAATAGCACAAGCAATAGATAAAATATTGGTGATGAAGATATTTTTTCTTGATATAAACATCTTGGAAAATTAGGCAGACAGAAATGTAGATAGTGCTGAAAATATGGCAGTGCAGGAGGGGACTATTAGAGACTATTCTTAGATCACCTGCCTCACTTTTTTTAATGGGGCTACTCAGATTTAAGTCTCTGAGGAGATTTAAACTATTTAGGATTTAAGATTATGAAATGGACTGTATTACACAATACGATCATGACCAATTCACAGGTTAATCTGACATTGGCCTCTTTCTATTTTCTTCAAACATATATCTTAGGAAAGACTTCTATGGCAAACCTCTGAATTTCTTCGTGGAGGATTATAATAATGGGCAAGGAATACGTTAGAATATAAAGAATAAGCTAGAACATAAATCGACATAAAATTACTTTCTAGGATCCTAGTGACCTACTTGATGGCATTTTCTTCTTTAACTCTTGCCAGGTGTCATTTCTGATATATCTTGTTCTTACATGTATTTCTTTGTGCAAGGGAGCAACCCAGGGACTATGTCACAATAGCTGTGTAATTTCATTGTGTTTGGGGGGAGAGGAGCATCGAGTTTCATAGGTATAATCAGGACAGTCTTAGGTTAAATCCAACTCTCATTGAAGATATTGCTACCTTGTTTGTATTCTATTTTCTCTTTATTTTTCCCCCTTGGTCCATGCTATTTTTACATGCCTTGGATTGCTGATTTGAGATACTAGAACATGTCTTAAGTAGTTTTGATTAGGTTATCTCTGTATACTGTCACATTGTTTTTCTTCTAATTTTCAGGAGAGTTGCTTTTGCAGACATCATCCTTCAAGCCGCTATACTTGGTCAAATACCCAAAGGGTGTTCTCCTTTCTCAGGTTTCCTCATCAGAAGCAGGCTTTTGCCAATACCTAGGATATACAGCATAAGGGTCAACTTCTGTGTTGACCTTGTCCCTTTTGATTATGAGGCATATCTGAAAACATGTAGAATGAGTGTAAGTCCATTCAATCACTTCCAATTCTAATCTAACTGATTAAAAGTTTTTTATGAAAAGAATTCATTCATGTAAAACCTCATTCGACTTCATGTAAAAGTGACATCTGGCTTGATACTCCTTTTCAAAATCAACTCTGCATTCTAAATTCTTAAGCTTTTCTTCTTGATATCTGTGTATTTCAATTATTATGCATAAGAAAGCTCTTAAGATTTTAAATTTCTTTGCTGCAAAGGACCTCAGTCCATCTTCCATGCTTAAAGAAAATGTTGTCAACTAGATGCTAACAGAAGTGATTTTGGAAGAAAAGTAACATGCAGACAACAAACTTCCTTATTTATCAGGACTCATTTAATGTGCATAGGAGGTTAAGGGTGGCCCAGCTGTTCAGAAACTTGACTTCCTGCTAAAAAAATGTCTGTTGGAGAGACATGTCCCAGTCCCAAGTATCAAATTAGCATTCAGACTGACTGATTCATGTACAAACACATTGTCTATCATACGTTGTCCCATTCCATGCCATTCAAATATACAGTGCTATCATACAAAAGGTGGCATTAATACAATTTTATTATTCATTTCAACAGAAATGTTCATTGACAGATATAAGCTTGCTGACAGATACTTTACCTGAGATAAGTGCAATAATACCCAATGCTTAATTTTCAAGCAATTTTAATATCTAATTTTCAACAATCACTTAAGTCACTGATATCTCAATTCTGTCAGCTTTCTTTGTAGAACTGTTCACCATCAATCACATGCTGATGAGCAGATCTTTTCATCTATTTTTTCCCCAGTGCTGGGCATGACAGGAGAAAAGGTGCTTTACCACCCTTCCAGTCAATTTAAATGTAGAGTGATACATTTGTAATGGTAATTGCCAGATAACCTCCAGAATCTGGTACAAGGGACAGAAACCCAGGTAATGTTCTCCTTATGACTGAATATATTCATTTCCTATTGTGTGGGTGAAAGAAATTCATATGGAATCAGTGTTGTGGAAGACTTGAATATGGAATTTTAGACTCTTGCTTGTACAAGGGGCATTACCAAATGCCTTGCTGTCCTGTAATATTTCTGTACAAATAATTACTTTGCTTGCCTTTCCTTCAAAAACAATCATACAATTTTCTGTGTATGGCAGCCCTGCTTGTATCCTATTCATTCATTGATCTTTTCTTCTGCTGGGGCATGTTGGAGCCAGACATTTATCAGTGGACTCCTGCTTCTTGAGCATTTAATCAGATTCATCTTCCTCTAGGGGGAGAAGAATACCAAATCTCATCCATGTCTTTGGTTCCAAGGCCTCCCAGACCTCAGTCATAGGTTCTAGTACTTCTTTGTATGTAGTGACTGAAGAGGCAACAAAACATTCATGTATTGTTACCTTAGGAAGTCACCCATTTACCTTTTTTTTGGAATGCTATCTGTTCTAATTTGTCCCAGCATGAAGGCTATAGAGAACTCTGAACACTCTATCTGTGCCATTATGTGACTTTTTTAGCCTATGTATGAAAATATAAACTAACATTGCTGTAAAGAAAGAAATTATTATAACATTATATAAATATATATGTATATAACAATTCTGTATATTGTATAACTCCATCTGTGAAATTGTGGTTGAGGTATGGTTGAGATATACAGTGGTACCTGGGTACTCATCATTAATTGGTT